GATGAGTTTTGGGATGAAATTCCATGTCTAAAAATGGTGTTGCTCCCACTTTTTAAAAATCAAGCCTTTTTGGTGCCTGGGGAAGAAAACGCGTGACTCCGCGGTCAGGAAAAATGCTGCCCAGGAAAAAAAAGTTTTTTGAAGCCAATTTGTTTTTTTAAACCAAATGCAAAAACGGACCCCAGGATGAGTTTTGGGATGAAATTCCATGTCTAAAAATGGTGTTGCTCCCACTTTTTAAAAATCAAGCCTTTTTGGTGCCTGGGGAAGAAAACGCGTGACTCCGCGGTCAGGAAAAATGCTGCCCAGGAAAAAAAAGTTTTTTGAAGCCAATTTGTTTTTTTAAACCAAATGCAAAAACGGACCCCAGGATGAGTTTTGGGATGAAATTCCATGTCTAAAAATGGTGTTGCTCCCACTTTTTAAAAATCAAGCCTTTTTGGTGCCTGGGGAAGAAAACGCGTGACTCCGCGGTCAGGAAAAATGCTGCCCAGGAAAAAAAAGTTTTTTGAAGCCAATTTGTTTTTTTAAACCAAATGCAAAAACGGACCCCAGGATGAGTTTTGGGATGAAATTCCATGTCTAAAAATGGTGTTGCTCCCACTTTTTAAAAATCAAGCCTTTTTGGTGCCTGGGGAAGAAAACGCGTGACTCCGCGGTCAGGAAAAATGCTGCCCAGGAAAAAAAAGTTTTTTGAAGCCAATTTGTTTTTTTAAACCAAATGCAAAAACGGACCCCAGGATGAGTTTTGGGATGAAATTCCATGTCTAAAAATGGTGTTGCTCCCACTTTTTAAAAATCAAGCCTTTTTGGTGCCTGGGGAAGAAAACGCGTGACTCCGCGGTCAGGAAAAATGCTGCCCAGGAAAAAAAAGTTTTTTGAAGCCAATTTGTTTTTTTAAACCAAATGCAAAAACGGACCCCAGGATGAGTTTTGGGATGAAATTCCATGTCTAAAAATGGTGTTGCTCCCACTTTTTAAAAATCAAGCCTTTTTGGTGCCTGGGGAAGAAAACGCGTGACTCCGCGGTCAGGAAAAATGCTGCCCAGGAAAAAAAAGTTTTTTGAAGCCAATTTGTTTTTTTAAACCAAATGCAAAAACGGACCCCAGGATGAGTTTTGGGATGAAATTCCATGTCTAAAAATGGTGTTGCTCCCACTTTTTAAAAATCAAGCCTTTTTGGTGCCTGGGGAAGAAAACGCGTGACTCCGCGGTCAGGAAAAATGCTGCCCAGGAAAAAAAAGTTTTTTGAAGCCAATTTGTTTTTTTAAACCAAATGCAAAAACGGACCCCAGGATGAGTTTTGGGATGAAATTCCATGTCTAAAAATGGTGTTGCTCCCACTTTTTAAAAATCAAGCCTTTTTGGTGCCTGGGGAAGAAAACGCGTGACTCCGCGGTCAGGAAAAATGCTGCCCAGGAAAAAAATGTTTTTTGAAGCCAATTTGTTTTTTTAAACCAAATGCAAAAACGGACCCCAGGATGAGTTTTGGGATGAAATTCCATGTCTAAAAATGGTGTTGCTCCCACTTTTTAAAAATCAAGCCTTTTTGGTGCCTGGGGAAGAAAACGCGTGACTCCGCGGTCAGGAAAAATGCTGCCCAGGAAAAAAAAGTTTTTTGAAGCCAATTTGTTTTTTTAAACCAAATGCAAAAACGGACCCCAGGATGAGTTTTGGGATGAAATTCCATGTCTAAAAATGGTGTTGCTCCCACTTTTTAAAAATCAAGCCTTTTTGGTGCCTGGGGAAGAAAACGCGTGACTCCGCGGTCAGGAAAAATGCTGCCCAGGAAAAAAAAGTTTTTTGAAGCCAATTTGTTTTTTTAAACCAAATGCAAAAACGGACCCCAGGATGAGTTTTGGGATGAAATTCCATGTCTAAAAATGGTGTTGCTCCCACTTTTTAAAAATCAAGCCTTTTGGTGCCTGGGGAAGAAAACGCGTGACTCCGCGGTCAGGAAAAATGCTGCCCAGGAAAAAAAAGTTTTTTGAAGCCAATTTGTTTTTTTAAACAAATGCAAAAACGGACCCCAGGATGAGTTTTGGGATGAAATTCCATGTCTAAAAATGGTGTTGCTTCCACTTTTTAAAAATCAAGCCTTTTTGGTGCCTGGGGAAGAAAACGCGTGACTCCACGGTCAGGAAAAATGCTGCCCAGGAACCAAAATGTTTTTTGAACATTTTACTTTTGCCCCAACTCTTTTTGGATGAGAAGCGAAACGTCTTCAATGAAAAAAACAGAAAGTGCAGTTTCCTGTTGAAAAAAATCACATTTGGGACAACCATGACCTGGATGGCTGAGAATCTCCAGAGGCATTTAGCTAGGCCAGAGCTGAAGAAGCTTCTTCTCTTCTCTTCTCTTCTCTTCTCTTCTCTTCTCTTCTCTTCTTTCCTCTCTTCTCCTTCTCTTCTCTCTTCTCTTCTCTTCTCTTCTCTTCTCTTCCTTTCCCTTCCCTTCCCTTCCATTCCATTATTCTCTTCTCTTCTCTTCTCTTCTCTTCTCTTCTCTTCTCTTCTCTTCTCTCTCTTCTCTTCTCCTCCTCTCCTCTCCTCTCCTCTCTCCCCTCCCTTCTCTTCTCTTCTCTTCTCTTCTTCTCTCTTCTCTTCTCTTCTCTCCTCTCCTTCTCTTCTCTTCTCTTCTTCTCTCTTCTCTCTTCTCTTCTCTTCTCTCTTCAGCTACACATGCCTAGTTCCCTTAACTTATCTTATTTTAAAATTTCTTTTCCATCTAATCTGGTGTCTCCAGGCATTTTACCGGGGCTACAGATCCCCCACCCACCCACCCACCCTACGCCAGCGTGCCTTGCAACTGGATGTTTTCTTATGCAGACATTGCCTAAGGAGAAAACCAAGCATTATATGCCAGAGCTTTCCAAATACTTGCACACGAAGGACTTTCCGTTGGATGTTTTGACAGATGTTTCCGCTCACGGGCCGGACTGTCAGTTAGCATTTCCTGCTTTCCCTCCCTGCAGCTTTTGCTTTTGATTTCACAGGAGAAATTGGGAGGAGGATTGACAAGTCACCCTTTCTCTTTTCCACCACTGTTCCAAGCCTTGCAGGATAGTTTCACTTAACATCATTAATTTTGGGGCTCGATTGTGGTCGTAACTCGAGGGCTACCAAGGCTCTGTTCAGACATCGTAGTGAACCCAAACTCATCTTGGACAATGAAATGTTTTGTAAACCCAGCTGCAGACATCTGGGAGGACCTGGGAGGATAGGTTATGGATTTAGCATCTTCAACCAACCCATATCACTCAGGAGACATGGGCCTGGTTGAACACAAGAGCGACCACACAGTTGGCTTGTTTCATCCCATCACATGGTCCTCAACGTACGACCACAATTGAGCCCCACATTTATGTTGCTAAGAGAAATTTTGTTAAGTGAGCTGGGCTCCTGTTTTATGACTTTTCTTGCCAGTTTGTTAAGGGAATCACTTCCGTTGTTAAAATTCGTAACTGGGCTGTGATGTGGATTTGGCTTCCCCATTTGGCTTGGCTTGTCAGAAGGTGGAAAAAAGGGATCATGTCTCACATGCAAACACACACACACACACACACACACACACACACGGGAGACTCTAGAACGGTCATAAATCTGAATCATTTTCCAAGCATCCGAATGTAAATCACGTGACCACGGGGATGGTGCAATGGTCATAAGTGTGAAAAACGGTCATGATTCCCCACCCCCCTTTTTAAAAAATTTATAACATTTTATTAGATTGTAGAATAAAATATAAAAAGTACAAAAGCAAAGAGTAGGACACAGTGGGGAGGCGAAGGGGAAAGAAAAGCGAGTAGAGTAGAATATAGAATATAGAATAGAATATAGACAATATAATATAACACATATATAATAGAATATATAATAGAATAGAATATAGAAGATAATAGAATATAGAATATATAATAGGATAGGATAGGATAGAGTAAGATATAATAGGATATAGAATATAGAATAGAATATAGAAAATATAATATAATATATATAATAAATAATAGAATAGAATATATAATATAATATATAATATATAATATAATAGATAATATAGAAGATAATAGAATATAGGAGATAATAGAATATAGAATATATAATAGAATAGGATAGGATCAGATATAATAAGATATAATAGGATATAGAATATAATAGAATATAGAATATAGAATAGGATAGGATAGGATAGGATATAATAAGATATTCTAGAATATAGAATAGAATATAGAATATAGAATAGAATAAAGAATAGAATAGAATAAGGAATAGAATAGAATAAAATATAGAAGAATAGAATAGAATAAGGAATAGAATAGAATAGAATGGAATGGAATGGAATGGAATGGAATGGAATATGGAATAGAATAGAGCAGAATAGAATAGGGAATAGGAATAGAAAAGAAACTGGAAGGGCCCTTGGAGGTCTTCTAGTCCAGCTCCCTGCTCAAGCAGGAGAACCTATACCAGAGAGAGAGGGAGGCAGGGAGAGACTCCTCTGTTGAGCCTAAAGCATTAACTCTTAATGCTTAATAACCTCAACTCTTAACTTTCCCATAATAATACAAACTAGCCACATCTATACAAAAAAAAAAACAAAAAAAACCCGGTCATAAGTCCCTTTTTCAGTTCCCTTGTCACTTGAACGGTCACTAAACGAGCCGTCCTAAATCGGGGGACCCCCCCCCCGCCTGCCGCTTATTGAAGAGAGGGTGTGCCCGGCCCACCTCCATCCCGTGGTAGCTTACTCAGCAAACCCCCCCTCCCCAAGGGCTTAGTAGCCATCGGGCCCCATCCGCTCGCCCTCCCTGCTTAGTCCCCCCCATCTCCCCATCTCCCTCCTCCGCCCCTTTCCCAGAGGCGCGGGGACCATCCGCAGCGGATGCTGCGCAGGGGAGCTCTCCGATTGGCTCTCCCGGCCATGACGTGGGCGGCGGCACCACCGATTTCTCTGCATCAGCATCACAATCCCGGCCACGCCCTGCCTGGACCGCCTGCCCATCCTCGCGGGGGTGAAAGGAGGGAGGGGGGGGAAACAGTCAGCTGAGCCTGCCTGTCCAAAGCGCAAGGCTTTTCTTCCTCTCCTTCTTCTCCTTCTCCTTCTTCTTCTTCTTCGCGTTATCCTTTCCAGCAAAGCCAGAGGGGGACACACACACACACACACAGACAAAAGAAAGAAAGAAAGAAAAAGAAAGAAAGAAAGAAAGAAAGAAAGAAAGAAAGAAAGAAAGAAGGGAAAGGAAAAAAAAAAGAAAGAAAAGAAAGAAAGGAGGGCTTTCCCCTCTCCCAAGCCTCCACCAACCCAAAATAGAGAGGAGCCACCAGAGACGTTATGGCACCCGCTGGCTTGAAAGCCGTGGTGGGAGAAAGTAAGACGATCGGTTTTCGTGGTTTTTTTTTTTTTCCTCCCCCTCTTTTTTTTTTTTCCCCCTTCTATGTCTTTGGATTGCATGAACCAGAGGAAGCGAGATGCGTGGGACCCTCTCCCCTTTTTTGGAGATGGGGAGGGGGGGAAGGGTGCCATTTCTGGCAACGATTTGGGGATTTCAAAGGCCTGGGGACGGGGGGGGTGAGGTGATGGGGAGGTTTGGTCCAATGGTTTTTCAAGCCTTGTTTCCACCCCCCCCCGTTCCTAGCGTCCTTGCTATATTTTTATTTTTATTTTCATTTTGAAGGGCAAGTAGATTTGCGCCACGGTTTGGCGCTGGAAAACCTGCCTGGCATTGAACGCGCGCGGGGGGGGGGGGGGAGAAGGATGGAAAGAGAAAAAGCGTAGGAGGGAGGGATGAGGCTGGGTGGGAGAAAACGAATGGGCGAATGTTGCTCAGGAGGGAGGGAGGGAGGGAAGGAAGGAAGGAAGGAGGGGTGGGAGGCTGGGCTTGTAGCAGCCATTGACGGTGCAAAAGAGAAAGAGAGAGAGAGAAAAAAAAAAAAGCTGGGGAGAAAAAGACAGCGGATTCGAGCCAAGCCAGCTTTTCCTGCGATGCTGAATCCTGCTGCTATATTTTATTTTATTTTATTTTCCTGCAAAAAAAAAAAAGGGGGGGGGAGAGAGAGAGGTGATGGGTTAATATTTTGCTGCTTTTATTTTTCCTCCCAGCCTTGTCTCTCCTGTTTTTTTAAACGGGAGGGGATGAGCAAGATAGTGGAGTTTCATGGCTTAAGCTGAGTGCATTTAGACTGCAATGTATCCATTTATTTCACGTATTCATAATCATGTTTATGCTTATATCTGTTACATGCTTGACAAAATAAATAAATGAATGAATAAATAAAAATGCGTATTTATCCTTTAAGGATGAGGAATAAGGGTGAGAAATTTTGTAACGGTGCATCCCCCAGATTTCTTACGCTTAGGAGACGAGAGGTATTGCCGGAGGCTAAAATATTTTGCAAAACGAATGTGCAGGGCAAGATCATTTGGCTGATGGGATTTTGTTTGTTTTTTTTTAAAAATGACAACTGGTTTTTTTTCCTGCATCTTTCTCTGCCTGTCATATTTTCTGCTTCCCCCCAGTTCAACAAGGAAAAAAATAAATAAAAATAAAATCTGGTAAATAGATTGGAGTGTAAATCTGGTCGCAACCCCCCTCTAATTTTCAAGAGGAGGGGTGTTGAAACTAAATTCTTAAAGCAATTCCTTTGAACGGTTTGCAGAGCCTCGATGTTCCCCCACCTCCTTCATTTTGCCCTCCCCCATCCCCAAAAAATTGATTTCCTTGTATGTGGTGGCTCTGATTTTTAAAAAGAAGAGGGGGAGGCCGTTTTGCACACGGTCCATAAATGTTGTTTATTGCTCCTGCTTAGTTCTGGGGTTTTGGGTCACTGCATTTTAAGAGCCGATTCGGAGGATGGGTCACTAAAGTCCATTTTTTTCCCCTCCCTGTCAAGTCAGAATGCTGACATACTTTAAAAATAATTAGCGATGAGCCTGCAAAATTTGAGCGTTTTGCAATTTCGGACCCAACTTCTGGTGAGGTGGTGCAGAGGTACTACCATCCTGTGCTTTTTTTAATGCCTGGTTTTAAATGGAATGTTCTAGCTTGGCTGGCTTAAAGTCCCTTGAGCTGTCTTCAGCAATTACAGCTAAGCTATTCTTTTTTTTATTTTTTTCCTAAGAGGATTGACCAGGGTGCATCCGGCATAATTGCCTTGTAGGTTGTGGTGTGTCTGTGTGCGTGCATCTGCCGGGGTTGACCCTCTCTAGGAGATTAGAAGGAGCGAAATCCGGTAGGGAAGGAAATCCTTGGCCTCCCCTTCCATCCAGAACTATCTTCCCGTGTTGTGACTTGGCCTTCGTGCTGCAGTCGGAGAAGGTTGGACTCGAACTAGGGTGCAGTTGTGAGACTTGGCAGAGATTGGAGCTGGGACCTTGGTGGATTTTGGATGGCTGGAAGAGAAAACAACATCCTTGTGGTTTCGTAGCCTCATTCCTCCCGCCGCATTACAATTCCGGGATCCTAACTCAGCGTCTTCCGTCATTCTTAGGTGGTTTTTCGTATGTTTTTGAATGCCTTGTGAACACTAGATCGCCAGTCACTCAGACAGATCTCCTTCCCACGTTCTGCAGCAGGAGCTGCGGATGGAGGAGGTGGAAATGATAATTATCATCATCAAAAACAACAACGTGGAATTGTTTGGGAGTTTGCGTTGTGAGGGGAGAAATAAAATTGTGTGGGGTCCTTGGTGTTCTCTGAGCTGGTTGCTTTCTTGCAAACATTTCCTTATCCAACCAAGTTAACCTCAACACTAGTCCTGATGATTAGCTGGGTACTGAGGACTGGAGCTGAGGTTGTTACCTAGTTGGGTAATGAAATGTCTGCAAGAAAACAAGCAAGATCAGAGAGCACCAAGGAACCCACAGTCCTCCCCCTCTTCCTCTCAGAACCCCACTCCCTTCTAACACTGATAATGCTACCTAGTTAGGTAATGAAATGTCTGCAAGAGAACCATCAGAGAGCACCAAGAACCCACATTCTTCTTCCTTCTCCTTCTCCTCCTCCTCTTCTTTGCAAACCCCACTCCCTTCTAGCACTGATGATGTTCCCTAGTTCATTCAGTAACGAAACATCTGCAAGAAAACCACCAAGCTCAGAGAGCACCAAAGACCTCACAGTTCAACCCTGAGCTGCAATTATTCCATCAGTAAAAGTTTGCATTGGTGTCTAATAATTGTGGGCCTCAAAATATGAACGACCTTAAATGATGTGTTGGTTCCGCAGAAAGCAGTTAGCCGAATACTTCCTTTCACTCTCTCTGGAAATTTATTTCTCAAATCCTACATAACGGTAGGTGAAGTAATATCATTAGGTTTCCCATTCCTAAAGCTCTTGCACCATTTTTCTTTCTTTCTTGAACTGCTCACTGATGTTTTTTTTTTTCATTTGGGTGCTTCAACTTTAGGCTTGGATTCAAGTCAAGTAGGGATAAAAAAAAAAAATCCAAAAAGGCAAAGCTGCAAGCATCAGATCAAAAGATGATCCAATTTAGCATGGTTTTGAGAAAGCATTTGACCGGTTCCATGGCTGCCAGTTTTCATTAGATCTTTTTCTCAGAAGGTTATCCATGAATGTAAGATGAGAAGTTGCTTAAAGAGACAGTGGGCTTTATAAGATGTGTAGACGTAAACACCGCTTTCTTTTTCAGACATTAGCTAAAGATTGTTTCTTAGTTGTTGTCCTAACGGATTCTGGAACATCTTCTTTTCTTTTTCAATTAACTGTCACAGCAAAGAGTTTGCCCAAATGAATCTTTAGCAGCTGTTTATCTACCTCCCAAAAAATGTTGTACGCCACAGATGATAAATCTTGTGTTGAATTTGGAGGCAGATGCTTCTTTAAAAAATAACAAGTAGTCCTTGACTTACAACAGTTGAGTTAGTGACCAGCACTGTTACTAAAAAGGACTTAAGATCATTTTTCACACTTCACAACTGTTGCAAGCATCACCATGGTCACGTGATCAAAATTCAGACCCTTCGCATCTGACACCTATTTATTTATTTATTATTTATTATTTATTTATTGGTTCGATTTATATGCCGCCCTTCTCCGGAGACTCAGGGCGGCTTACAATGCGTTAAGCAATAGCCTTCATACTTTTGTATATACCTGCTTAGTAGGGCTTTCGGGCCCCCTAAGCGGTGGTTTTTTTTATACAAAGTCAGCTTATTGCCCCCCACAATCCGGGTCCTCATTTTACCTACCTCGGAAGGATGGAAGGCTGAGTCAACCTTGAGCCTGGTGAGATTTGAACTCGCAGTAATTGCAGGCAGCTGGTGCTACTTTAACAGCACTTAGTCAGCTGCGCCACCAAGGCTCTTTATGATGGTTGCCAGGTCATGTGATCCCCAGGTCATGTGATCCCCTTTTCTGACCTTCTGACTAGGCAAAGTCAATGAAGAAGCCAGATTCACTTAACAAACCATGTTAGGAATTTTAAAAAAAACTGGCTGTGATTCACTTCACACTGATGGCCAGAAAGCTCATAAAACAGGACAAAACTCACTTAACCAATGTCTCAATGAGCAGCAGAAATTTGGGGCTCTATTGTAAGTGGAAGACTTACCTTGCAACTTTAAAGTTGGCATAGAAAGAAAGAAAGAAAGAAAGAAAGAAAGAGAAAAAAGGAAGGAAGGAAAGAGAAAGAAAGAACGAAGGAAGGAAGGAAGAAGGAAGGAAGGAAGGAAGGAAGGAAGGAAGAAGCTTAGATTCCTGAAGTGCTGCCTTTCTATGGGGTGCTAAACCATTTCGTGGTTTGCTACTAAAGGGATGCCATCTACCCGCTGGTTTATATCTTTGTGGAGGGCCAAGGTTGTTGTTGTTTTTTAAATTTTGTAAATTAGTTCTCCTTTGGCCAAAGCAATTAATGGCCTTATGGCAACTGATAACAGTTGATAGTGTAGGGTCTCCTGCTTATGGGCGATGGGATGTGGGGGGAGGGGGTTGGACTAGATGACCTACAAGGTCACTTCCGACTCTGTTTTTCTATTCTATTCTATTCTATTCTATTCTATTCTATTCTATTCTATTCTATTCTATTCTATTCTATTCTATTCTATTCTATTCTATTCTACCCTACCCTACCTACCCTACCCTACCTACTCTACCCTTAATTCTATTCTATTCCGTTCTATTCTCTACTCTACTCTACTCTACTCTACTCTACTCTACTCTACTCTACTCTACTCTATCTGCCTCAGTGGAACTGCAGAGGCTGTTAATAAGACTGCACAGAACATAATCCACATCCTTTTTCTTGTCTGTTCTCCTCGTTTGGAGCGAAAACAGAATTACTTTTTGAAATTGCTTTTTTAGAGTAGAATGAGTATTCAGATGTTCCATACAGGTACGGCTAGCTGATGAGAACTAAATAGCTTGAAATAGATCTATACTAGTCTCCCTTTATTTCTTTATCAGCGATATATAAATTTGGTGGATATATATATGCAAATTTCGGAGTCTTTGAGAGATATTTCAGGGCAGCCCAGGAGCGGATAGCATTGAGTTTTCTTGAGCTGTGACTGGCTGCAATTAGAAAAATAAATAAATAAAGCATGGATCCCTTCAGTCTCTAAGGGATATTATATTGTCTTTATGGAGACACACGAGTGTGTGTTGTTTCTGTTTTTTTGCAACTCTTGGGTGTTGCATATCCTGTTGCAAAACCCACTCTTGTGCTTTCGCTCGAGTTTGGCTACAGATGTGAGCCTCTGTTGCAATTCCTGGTGTCCTCCTAGCACCATGGGCCCTAGGCCCCATCTCACAGACACCCCAGCAAACATGGATTTTGTAGTCCAGCACAAGGCGGAAGGGTGTCTCTTTGATTCACGGTGCTCTTATTGGCCAAGGTGTGGGTCAGATTCGGTGACCAATTTATGCAACCTCTTCCAGCTGCCACATCGAGGTTGCTCTCCTCCCTTCTCTTGAACTCTGCACTGAAGTCGGAACCTGGCAAAGAATCGATTGAAAATTAAATTGTTGAGTTTTTCCCCCTACTTTCTCTGTTGTTTGAGCTTGATGCCCAAGGAATATGGATTGAAAATACGGTGTTTTTTTTAAAAAAAATACGGTAGTTCCTTGAATGTCTGTATAATTTTTAAAAAGTTGAATTTGCACACGATGTAAAGCAGTCCTTTTTCTTTTCTTTCTTTTTCTTTTTTGCAGGTTATTGTATATATTTAGATAGTTGATACGGTCACTCATTTAACAACGGAGACTCAAGTAGGATAAAGCATGTTGGTTTCTCGACAAGGGAACAGAATCCTAAGGTTGGGATGGTACCCAGGGGTGAAATCCAGCAGGTTCTGACAGGTTCTGGAGAACCAGTAGCAGAAATTTTGAGCAATTCAGAGAACCGGTAGCGGAAATTTTGAATAGTTCGGAGAACCAGCAAATATCACCTCTGGCTGGCCCCAGGAGTGGGGAGCGAATGAGGATTTTGCATTATCCTTCCCCTGGAGAGGGGTGGGAATGGAGATTTTGCATATCCTTCCCCTGCCATGTCCACCAAGCCACGCCCACCAAGCCATGCCAACAGAACTGGTAGTAAACAAATTTGGATGTCACCACTGATGGCACCCTTGGAGGGGTCTCCTGCCTTGCTCAGGCAGGAGACTCTGGCCTATACCATTTCAGACAAATGGTCCAATCTCTTTTTGAAAAGCTCCGTTGATGGAACAGCCACAAGTGGAGAAACACTATGATAGAATCATATTATTATTATTTTATCTATTTATTTTATTTGTCATATTTCTATGCCGCCCACTCTCCGAGGACTCTGGGCGGCTTACACCAAAGACAGTATACTTAATAGCATATTGCCCCCAACAATCTGGGTCCTCATTTTACCCACCTCGGAAGGATGGAAGGCTGAGTCAACCTTGAGCCGGTGAGATTTGATCCGCTGATCTGCTGAACTAGCAGTCAGATGAAGTAGCTGCAGTACAGCACTCTAACCACTGCGCCACCTCAGTTCAAGATTGGAAGGGACCTAGGAGGTCTTTTAGTCCAGCCCCTGCTATTATTAGGTAATAATGGAATTATTGTTCCTCTTGTTCGGACATGATCATCGGTTGAGGTGGGGGTGGGGTAGCCTGTCCACCCTGGAGGCCATCTTTTCTTTTGGTTCTTCAGGGCTGCCACATTTAGTCTGTGGGAAACTGGGATTGTATGGAGTTAGTAGAAGTATTTAGCCATAACAACATTCTTTTCTCTGGGAGTCAAGGACGTTCAACCTGCACCTGGAGTGGCATGACTGGGAGGCACCTCCAGTTGGGACGGTGCATTGATTGGACCATGTGATGGACATGTGGGTCCAGGGGGGAAGGGACTTTCCTTTGGGTGGGGAAAACCCGGGAGCTTTCAGATTCGGGTTTTCCCAGATGTGCCAATATGACATCTCTAATAAAGTGGAAGGAACTTGTAGCCTACTTTCGTTGGGGGTGTTACTTGGAATCCTGACAGCATTATAGAAGTGAGAATGGGACTGGGCACAACGTAGTTCTCCCATTGTTAGCCATTTTCAATCGCTCACACTTGAGGCTTTGGTTTTGTGGTTATGTGCGATGAGTTTGCTATATGTTGTAGATGTTTCCTTGCCCAACTAGGTAGCATCATCAGTGCTGGTGAGTGTGGGGTTTGCTCGCCATTTATACAGCGTAGCTTGCCCTGTTTGGAATGAGGTTACCTAATCAGGTAACGAAACCAAGGTCAGAGAGCACCAAGGACTCTACAGTTCAATCCGAGCTACAGATGTTCTCTTCTATCGGTTTTTTGTGTCTCAGGAGATATTTGGGCCCATTCGAGCCACTGTTCTCTCGTGCAAAACAATGTTTCTTTGAAGCAGTGCTCACGACTCTTCAAATTTTGCAAATTTCCCCGTGTTACGCAAGGCTGCTTGATGGGAACTCCTAACACTGTGGTGTTTTCCATGTAGGAAAGTGAGATTGTTCAGCCTTGCTTCTCCTTGTCAATCAAAAGGACTAGGAAGACTGTTTACGTTGATGAAGTATTTCTGAATTTTCTCAAGACTGTCCCTCCTGATTTCCAAGAAACACAGCCCCCTGCGAACCACCTCAAACTCCCCTCTCTCCTCTCCTGTTTATTCTAAAATTGGCCCTTGTTAAATCGAAAGCTAAAAATGGGAGAGACCAGCTTTGCTGCAATGCAGCTCAGGGAGACTGATGTTCTGGCCAGATTTGGTTAGTCCAATCCGCTGCTCAAGCAGGAGACCCTACAATATTCCAGACAATAGAATAGAATAGAATTCTTTCTTGGCCAAGGGTGATTGGACACACAAGGAATTTGTCTTCGGTGCAGAAGCTCTCAGGGTACATAAAAAAAAACACATTCATCAAGAATCATCAGGCACAACACTTAGTGATATTTAGTCACAGGCTGCTAAATAAGCGATTGAATCATACTAGGAAACCGAATAAAACAATATATATCGTAAAGATGCAAGCAACAAGGTTATAGTCGTAAGTAGAAAAGGAGATAGGTAATAGGAAGGAGGAGAGGAATAATAGTAATACAGTCTTAGTAAATATTTTGACAGTGTTGTGGGAATTAGTTGTTTAGCAGAGTGATGGCGTGGGGTGGGAAAAACTGTCCTTGTGTCTAGTTGTTCTGATGTGCAGTGCTCTATAGCATCGTTTTGAAGGTAGGAATTGAAACAATTTATGTCCAGGATGCGAGGAGTCTGTAGATATTTTCACAGCCCTCTTTTTGACTTGTGCAGTACACAGGTCCTCCATGGAAGGCAGGTTGGTACCAATTGTTTATTCTGCAGTTGGCATTTTTAAAAGTCTCCAATGATGGAGCATCTCCAACTTCCGGAGGCAAGCCATTTAAGATCCATTTCTTTCTTTTCAAAATAACCTATTGGTGTCCTTCCCCTGTAGTGGAGAATAAATGGCTCTGCACTCACAAGTTCTGGAGGCAAGTTGTTCCATTGACAATTGTTCTAAATGTCAGGAAATTCCTCCTTAGTTTAGGTTGGTTCTCTCCTTGATTACTTTCCATCCATTGTTCCTTCTTTTGCCTTCAAAATTTCTTCCCTTTTATTTTGGTGGGGTAATAAATGAACAATGAAGAAACTTTTCCCTTACATATGTCTTAATCTGAAGCGGAGCAACTATTCCTTTTAACCAAGGAACAATAAATATAGAATGGAATGGAATGGAATGGAATGGAATGGAATGGAATGGAATGGAATAGAATAGAATAGAATAGAATGGAATAGAATAGAATAGAATAGAATACTTTATTGGCCAAGCTTAACTTTTTTAAATGTTTTAAATTGGTTTGTTATTGTTTTTTTTTTAAATTACGGGGCCAAATTATATATATCCTTTTAATACTATTTTAAAGTTTGTAATTTATGTTTTTATTTGGCTGTACACCGCCCTGAGTCCTCAGGGAGAAGGGCGGTATATAAATTGGATATAAAATAAAAATAAAAATAAAGTGTGATTGGACATACAAGGAATTTGTCTTGGTGCATAAGCTCTCAGTGTACATAAAAGAAAAGATACAATTTGTCAAGAATCATAAGGTACAACACTTAATGATAGTCATAGGGTACAAATAAGCAATCGAATCATACTAGGAAACAGTCAATATAAGTCGTAAGGATACCAGCAACAAGGTTACAGTCATACAGTCATAAGTGGGAGGAGATGAGTGATAGGAGTGATGAGAAGATTAATAGTTGTGCAGACTTAGTGAATAGTTTGACAGTGTTGAGGGAATTATTTGTTTAGCAGCATAAACTGGCAATCGGGGGCAGAGTGGCATGTGTAGTAGGCCCTGCTCTCTGGAATCTATAGTATTCATTTTTCCAAGTTGTGAAGAAACAAACTGAAAGTTCGCAATTTCTGGTCACAGGAAATGCCTGCTGTATCTTCTTCCTCCTTTTGTTTGAGAAGCACTGTGTGTGCAAAGAAACAGAGCCTTAAAAAAAAAAAATTCCCCATATCAACTAAAAGAGAAATTAAACTCTTAACAATGCCATGATACGGACGTTCTCATCTGGAAACCGAATTTAAACAATCTCCAATTTTACGATCAGAGCTACTCAGACAGCAACAAGGGTTGTGAATTGTGATGATGAAGCCATTGCGGTGCAGATAATGGGAATTAGCAGCCCAGCTAATTCAAGATGCTTACTCTAGCCACATTCAATGCTATGGTTTAACTTGCTTCTCCAAGGGGGCTGATGCCAACTCATCGTAGATTAATTCTTTTCCTAATTCCCCTCTTTCGATTTTATTTTTTTTTTTTGCAGAGATTATGGCTGATGTCATAAAGAAAGTAAAAAAGAAGGGAGAATGGAAGGTGAGTTCAAAACAAATCAATGGCTTCTTCATACCTTAGACTGTTTTTTTTTTTTTTAAATTTGATTTATATGCCGCCCTTCTCCGGAGACTCAGGGCGGCTTACAATGCGCTAAGCAATAGCCTTCATCCTTTTGTATATTTATACAAAGTCAGCTTATTGCCCCCACAACTGGGTCCTCAATTTACCTACCTTAGAAAGGATGGAAGGCTGAGTCAACCTTGAGCCTTGGCGAGATTCGAACCTGCAGTAATTGCAGGCAGCTGGTCTTAATAACCAGCTTAATAACAGGGTGCCTTAGACCACTGTACTACCAAGGCTCTTTGATGCCTGTATCCCACTGCCATTTGACCTGGTTTCTGATTTAATCTATTTTCTGAGTTTGCACAACACTCGATCACATGCACACAAGAATAACCAAGGTAACCTTTGCTCAATGCAGCTTAACCTTAGGTAACCTTAGCACAATGTGTGAATGCTGTCTCCAGGTCTGAATTTTACTTGATTAAATGGGTTACCTGAGTATATCTAACTCACCGCCCATTTTAACCTACAACCGTAGAAGATAGCAACAGCACTTCTATACCGCTTCACAGTGCATTTACAGCCCTCTCTAAGCAGTTTACAGAGTCACCATATTGCCTCCCCAACAATCTGGGTCCTCATTTTCCCGACCTCAGAAGGATGGAAGGCTGAGTCAACCCTGAGCTGGTGAGAATCGAACTGCCAAATTGCAGGCAGTCAGCAGTCAGTAGATGTAGCCTGCAATTCTGCATTCTAACCACTGTGCCACCATGGCTCTTGTGGTAGATAGATAAATACCCTGTTGTCCCCAAAATAAGACCTCTCCTGATAATAAGCCCAATCGGGCTTTTGAGCGCATGTGCTAAAATAAGCCCCCTGAAAATAAGCTCTCCCCGAAAATATTTAAACACAGAGCTGGAAATCAGGGAAGACGGCAAGAGTAGTCCCATCTTGCTCCACGCACCCCAAAATAATAAGACCTCCCCGAAAATAAGACCAAGTGCTTATTTCGGGGTTCAAAAAAATATAAGACAGGGTCTTATTTTCGGGAAAACATGGTAGATAGATAAGTAGATGGGTGGGTGGATGGATGGATGGATGGATGGATGGATGGATGGATCGATAGATCGATAGATAGATAGATAGATAGATAGATAGATAGATAGATGATAGATAGATAGATAGATAGATAATAGATCGATAGATCGATAAATATATAGATAGATAGATAGATAGATAGATAGATAGATAATAGATAGATAGATAGATAATAGATAGATAATAGATAGATAGATAGATAGATAATAGATAGATAGATAATAGATAGATATAGATAATAGATAGATAGATAGATAGATAGATAGATAGATAATAGATAGATAGATAGATAGATAGATAGATAGATAGATAATAGATAGATAGATAGATAGATAATAGATAGATAGATAATAGATAGATAGATAGATAGATAATAGATATATATAGATAGATAGATCGATAGATCGATAGATCGATAGATCGATAGATCGAGATCGATAGCACTAGCACTTAGACTCTTGGGAGTGACATTTCCCTTCTCCGTGTCTTTCCCAGGTGCTTGTGGTGGATCAGCTGAGCATGCGTATGCTGTCCTCCTGCTGCAAAATGACAGATATCATGACGGAGGGGATAACAAGTAAGTAGAACTTTGGGATTGTACTCACACCACACCTTCGGATCCAAAACTTGTGCCTGCTTTTGCACAACCTGCAACATTTCTTTAGAATGAACCTCAGGGAGAATGTTCGGATGTCCTGTCTCCTTCTCCTTGCCTCTTCTGAAATCCTCAAGGGTAGAGCTCCTTCTGCCTCCAGGAAGCTATGCAAGGAAAGGGAGCTGGGGATTTGGGAGATAACTTTCAGAACAGATCTCCAGATTTGAATTGAAGAATGAAGGTTGGTCCAGAAACGCCCAACCTTCGTTCTGATTTCCTTCTGCTCTCTTTCTTTCTTGCAATCTCTGCTTGTCCCCATTGGGTGTGGCTGTATCCAGTTGTAGAAGATATTAACAAGCGTCGAGAGCCGCTGCCTAGCCTGGAGGCTGTGTATCTCATCACTCCATCCGAAAAGGTAGGTTTTTGTGTTAATAGGATAGCTATCCAAGTTGGGTACAGCATCTTAACAGAATAACAGAGTTGAAAGGTACCGTATTTTTCGGAGTATAAGACGCTCCAGAGTATAAGACACACTTAGTTTTGGGGGAGGAAAATAAGAAAAAAAAAATTTCATAGGGGAAAAACTTTCCCCTATGAAAATTCATAGGTCATAGGGGAACGTAATTCATAGGTCATAGGGGAATGTAAATCTACGTGGGATCAGTCCTAACTGCATCCGAGTATTGCTGGAATGTTGCTCCTAATAAATAGCTATATTTCCTTTGAAGTTTGCTCATGAATTAATTAGGGCATCTTTCGGAAACTTGACAGACAGTTAGGACTGATCCCACGTAGATTTACATTCCCCTATGACCCTGTCTCTCCCCTCCTCTCTGGCCATGTCATAAATCACATTCTCCAATTAACCACTTTGGCTGGCTGTGAAACCTAACACCCTCCTTCTGATTGCAGTCAGAAAAAAATGTATGGAATTCACTTCAGTTCTCCTTTCCTCCTGCTCATGGCAACTTGAAAGCTTTGCAAGTTGACAGTATGTTTGTATATTTTCAGCAGTTTTCCATTTGGTAGGGCAGGGTGCTATCCAAACAAAGACACTAAACATGTTCCCACTAAAATGGGAACAAGTGAAGTTGTCTTATCACACTTACTATTAACAATTATTTCTATTGTATTCCTGTTTCTGCTGTCAAATCCTTTTTGCTCCAGGTCCCATTTTTACCTTTATAACACCGCAAATTAATTCAGGTTGATATTCTTGATTAGAAGTAAACTGAATCCACTTAATCTTCTTTCTCAGTCGGTGGAGTCTCTCATTGCTGACTTCAAGGAACCGCCAAATGCCAAATATCGAGCTGCGCATGTCTTCTTCACAGACTGTAAGTATGGAATATATTGGAGTTCCATCTCTGGGTTGTAATTTTTTTGAAGCTCCACCCCGTTTTCAGGATCTGATTTTGGGGTCACACATTAAACTATAGATTCATCTGCAATAGAAGCAGCCGCTTTAATGAGACCCCGGCCACATTCACCTAAACTAGCTCTGTTTCTAGGTTCATGCAAGCCACTTGTGGATTTGCATAACATGCTAAATCAATAAATGAATTCCAAAGTAAAGCTAACCCAAGCCAGCATCTTGTGCAAAATCCTAGATTGTGTGAAAGCAGCTGTTGAGCAAATCTGGTGTCTTGCATTGGAAGTTCCTGAACTGAACTGCGGATTGATCTATCTGACTTTCAAAGTCTGTCCCCCAATCCTTGGGTCCTACTTTCCTCTGGAACCATTCTTCTTGCTATCTTTGCAGTGGGTGGGATAATCTGCAGTTACCACTTTAGGATAAATTAACAGATTTGTCTATGTTGTCTAAATGTTGTGGTTGCTGTCTCTTTCTGTTCCCAGCTTGCCCAGATTCCTTATTCAATGAACTGGTCAAATCCCGGGCAGCAAAAGTCATCAAGACCCTGACGGAGATCAACATTGCTTTCCTGCCCTATGAGTCCCAGGTAAACTGAGCTAGAAGTGAAGATAGACTATTTGGATGTAACGATATTTATATCAGTTCCTTCTGTTTCTCCTCTGGACTGTCACTGTTCTGTCTCATTGGTGCAAGTTTTCTTTGTAAGATGCTCCAAAATGTTTTGGACAAAATGACTCGATGTTGTTCAGATGCCTTCAGAAGTTGTGGATGCTCCATCACTGGAGGTTTTTAAGAAGAGATTGGACACCTATTTGTCTGGAAAGATATAGGTCACCTGCTTGAGCAAGGGGTTGGACTAGAAGATCTCCAAGGTCTCTTCCAGCTCTGTTATTCTATTTTGGGCTTCATTTCTTATTCCAAAAGCCATAATCCCAAACACTGGGAGAAGAGCAGTCCTTCTACTCGTGCACCAGCAAATAGTCCCTGCAACAGTTAGCCAGCTAAATTTTGCATCCATTTGCAATAGGATCACTCAAGCTGCTTTAGTGCACTGCTTTAGTATAATTCAAGGTTTATATCATCTCATGCTCCCTTTTTGAGGTTTTTTCTGATTGCTGAGTAATTACCAGAAAGGATCAGGCAGGCATCTGCAAACAGCAGGCATCTGCAAACACAGCAAAACGGAGCTCAATTGTTTTATGGAGAGGAAAAATAAACAGTCTGGATTTGGTTGCTGGGTTTTTTTTTCTGAGGAGTTTGTGCTTGCAAATGGAAAAAAGCAGGATTTATGCAATTGTTCCCTCCAAGAAACCAAGGTTGTCCATCCTTCTCTTCTTCACTGTCCTCTGATGCTCATCGGCTCTGACTGCTGAGCTTTTGTGATGAGTGTTGCGTCCTTCTATACACGCACACACACCTCTGTTCACCCCCTATTTGCTTCCACACACTTGTGCTTTTACTTGGTCCGTTGGTTGTTGCTTGATCTCTTCCAAGCTGTTGTTTAGTTGTGCAGAGCACACCTCCCTTTCCACCTCCTCTCTTGTAAGAGCAAAAATGGAGGAAGTGAAGATCAGGAGAGGGAAAAACAGATGGCAGATGGTTAAGCAACATTGTAAATAGATGGCAGATTGATATTCTTTCTCTCTCTCTCTCTCTCTCTCTCTCTCTCTCCTCCCTCCCTCCCTCCCTCCCTCTCTCTCTCTCTCTCAAAGGACAGTGCTTGGAATACAGCGCATTGCTAGGGGGATTAAATGATGGAGATATATATATAAAAAAGACGTATTGGACTTTTTCACACCAGGGGTGGAGAACAGAGGATTTCAGTGTCAGGGTTCCGGCAGATGCTCTAATTAAATCATGAGCCTCAAGCCAAGCTTCAAAAAAAAACCAGTTATTTCTTAGGAGCTTCATGTCGACACGTTCTAAGTGAAGCCAACTCTGGCCCCACGTAATTTCCCCCCTCCCCCCAGGGTGCGTCATCAGTCACATTTGCCAACGTCCCCTCCGGCTTCTGTGGGTAACCCTGGGAGACAGCCTTGAAAGAGATATGTCTGGAATGTGCTCCTGTTTTTGGCCGCCGTGCTGCTTCGTCGGTTTCCCATCCCCCTTGCCTATGACAACTCGAGAGCAGGCCAGGGATGCTTTGTGAGTGGACGCCCAGGGCTGGAAGGCACCTCAGAGATCTTCAAGTCCAATCCCCCTGCTCAAGGCAGGAGACCTTATACCATCCTGGTTAAATGATTGGTCTGTTTTTGAAAACCTCCAGGGACGGAACACCCACAACTCTGAGTGTTCAGTTGTGTGTGCTCAATTAATCAATTAATGCTCCATTAATCAATTCCATTGATTAATTGTTCTATCAGGAAATTTTTACAGACGGCTGTTACGTATAAGCTAGGTTGACAAAATCAGAAATGAGGAGGTGATAAGCCGTCTGGGAAAGCCCAGGGAAATCATCAAAACCATTAAAAAGCGAAAGTTAGAATATTTCGGACATGTGGTGCAACACCCGGAAAAATAGTCAGCGCTATAAACAAGGGTGTGTATGATGTATTCCGACATGCGTGTGACACCGTAATGTGACGATTGAAATTAGACATCGGACAGACTTCCTCCTGCATTTTAGATAGCTGGTTTCCTTCATCCTTCCTAGGTGGGTGAGCCAAACACGGGGAGGTATTGAATTTGAGCCACTTCCACTTGAATGTTTCAGCTCCTTTTTTTTTTCACCCTTGTGATGCCTACTACAGGTTTACTCCCTGGATTCAGGGGACTCCTTCCAGAGCTTTTACAGCCCTCACAAAGCTCAAATGAAGAATCCAATTCTGGAACGCTTGGCCGAACAGATCGCGACACTTTGTGCCACGCTGAAGGAATACCCGGCTGTGCGATACAGGGGGTGAGAAAGTGGAATTTCTGGAGGACTCCCTTCACTGTGAACCTCTCAAGATTTTAATTTTAAAGCCAAAGCAGTAGATGCTACATCCTTAGGAAGCCTCCTGTACCTGGAAGTTCTCTTAACCCCTTTCCCATTCATCAAGAAATAGGCATCTGTCAAGAGTATACGAATTGAAGTATTAAAGTGAGCAAGGGATGATGGATAGAATAGAGCTAATTTTTTAAATTCCTTTTCTTTCTTTCTTCTTTTTTCTAATATAATGATAGCCTGATTAAAAACTAGAAATAGAGGGAGAAATAAGAATATACACCTTTATATGAAGGACTATGTATTAACATAAAGAGACGCAGTGGCTCAGTGGCTAAGATGCTGAGCTTGTCGATCGAAAGGTCGGCAGTTCGGCGGTTCGAATCCCTAGCGCCACGTAATGGGGTGAGCTCCCGTAACTTGTCCCAGCTTCTGCCAACCTAGCAGTTCGAAAGCACGTAAAAAATGCAAGTAGAAAAATAGGGACCACCTTTGGTGGGAAGGTAACAGCGTTCCGTGCGTCTTTGGCATTCTGATGAAAAACCTCAGGAAGGGATGCCTCTTGAGGCTTGTGAAAATGAGGAAGTGAGGACATTGAAGGACACCATGAAAGGTTGAAAGGGAACCTCACAAAGCATCAACACAGCGTCGACCACTTTCCCCAACTTGGCCTTAACAAAGTCATTGGGGAAATAGTCTCTCAAAGCTATTCTAAAAAATCAATAAAGTGGCCCACGAGAGTGGAAGGGTGGTACTGGGGTGGGCTGCTGGGGGTTCACAGAGGTTTAGGAGAACCTCTAGCTAAGATTCTGTGCAGTTCGGAGAACTTCCAAATCCCACTCCTGGCTGGCCCTCCCCACCCCTCCCCTCCTAGGAATCCCCACGCGGCCTGTTTTGGATGCAGGTAAGTGTAGGGCGCGCTCGGAGGCTCAGGGAGGGCAAAAAATGGGCCTACCGGAAGTTCAGAAAGGCTGGAAACAGGCCCATTTCCAGCCTCCGGAGGGCCTCTGGAGCCTGGGGAGGCCGTTTTTGCCCTCCCGGAGGCTCGAGAAAAGCCTCTGGAGCCTGGGGAGGGCAAAAATGCCCCTCCCCTGCCATGGTGCAGGAGGCCAACTAGGCCACGCCCACCATGACCACATCCACCCAGCAACTGGGCAGAGAACCCACCTCTGGGTAGTACTATTTGTTGCATGACAATGAAAACAGAAGACAATGAGCCCAGGACATCATCAAGGGTACCTGTAAAATGAAACCAGCCCTGGTTTTGAAAGAACAATTGTCCTCTTTTGGCAGGGATTACAAGGACAATGCTATGCTGTCTCAGCTGATCCAGGACAAATTGGATGCATACAAAGCAGATGACCCAACCATGGGAGAGGTGAGCGAATCCTTGTAGTTAAAGAAAACTGGATTGATGTACCTGGACTGTGGATTTGAGCAGAACTGGATGGGTCAACTAGATGTTGGGACGTGGTGGCTCAGTGACTAAAACGCTGAGCTTGTCGATCGAAAGGTTGGCAGTTCAACGGTTCGAATCCCTAGTGCCGCGTAACGGGGTGGTAGGCCAACCATGGATAAATCCAAGAAAAGGAAAGTTTCAGAAGAAAACAGAATGTTTAATTCAACTACATATGCTAGTTTTGTAGTCGCTCAAGAAATAGTCAGGCACGGGAAGGGATTTGTGGCTCCTGGTGTTTTTTTTTTCTGTGGGAAACGGGTCCAAACGTCTCTTTGAGTGTTTAAGGTTGCAAACCGCTTGTGTAGCATCTCCTGCTTGAGCAAGAGGTTGGACTAGAAGACCTCCAAGGTCCCTTCCGGTTCTATTCTGATTGAAAGTATGTTTGTCAAAACAAAATCAACGTTTTGGCATTGGTGTTCAATGGTCAACCTTCAGAGAAATTTTCTTCTGCTTGATGGAAAGCAGGTCGGATCGTTCTGATGGCTTCTTGGTTTGTTTCCCCTCAATCCAGGGTCCAGACAAAGCTCGTTCCCAACTTATCATTCTAGACCGTGGCTTTGACCCCAGTTCGCCAGTCTTGCATGAGCTCACCTTCCAAGCCATGAGCTACGACTTGCTACCCATTGAAAATGATGTCTACAAGTAAGGTCCTCTTGTTTACTTTCTGTACTGTCTGTTAGGTGTAAGGGGCACCTGAATAGAATGGAATAGAATAGAATAGAATGGAATGGAATGGAATGGAATGGAATGGAATAGAATAGGGAATAGAATAGGGAATAGAATAGGGAATAGAATAGAATAGAATAGAATAATAGAATAGAACAGAACAGAACAGAACAGAATAGAATATAGAAGAATAGAATAAGGAATAGAATAGAATAAGGAATAGAATAGAATAGATTAGAATAGAAACGAATAATAGAATAGAATAAAATATAGAAGAATAAAATAGAATAGAATAAGGAATAGAATAGAATATAGAAGAATTGAATAGAATAAGGAATAGAATAGAACAGAACAGAATTCTTTATTGGCCAAGTGTGATTGGACACACAAGGAATTTCTCTTTGGTGCATATGCTGTCAGTGTACATAAAAAGAAAAGATACGTTCGTCAAAAATCATAAGGTACAACACTTAATGATAGTCATAGGTTACAAATAAGCAATCAAATCATACTAGGAAACAATATCAGTATAAATTGCAAGGATACAAGCAACAAAGTTACAGTCATGCCGTTATACGTGGAAGGAGATGGATGGTGGGAACGATGAGAAGATTAAGAGTAATGCAGACTTAGTGAATAGTTTGACAGTGTTGAGGGAATTATTTGTTTAGCAGAGTGATGGCGTTTGGGAAAAAACTGTCCTTGTGTCTAGTTGTTCTGGTGTGCAGTGCTCTGTAGCGTCGTTTTGAGGGTAGGAGTTGAAACAATTTATGTCCAGGATGGGAGGGTTCTGTAGATCTTTTCACAGCCCTCTTTTTGACTCGTGCAGTAAGTATACAGGTCCTCAATGGAAGGCAGGTTAGTAGTAATTGTGGTTGCAGAACCAAAGCAGACAGTTATGGAGGTGCAGATGACAGACTCAATAGTTCCTCTGTAGAACTGGATCAGCAGCTCCTTGGGCAGTTTGAGCTTCCTGAGTTGGTGCAGAAAGAACATTCTTCGTTGTGCTTTTTTGATGACGTTTTTGATGTTAGGTGTCCATTTTAAGTCTTGAGATATGATAGAACCTAGAAATATGAGGTCCCCATGACTGAAAACTGTGTGTCCATCTTGGTCCCTCCAAAACCCAGAAACATATAGATTTGTTGCATGATGTCACCGATGTGTTTATTCGTGTTCCCTTTTGAAATTCCCAGGTATGACACAAGTGGAATCGGGGAGGCCCGAGTCAAAGAAGTCCTGCTGGATGAAGATGATGACCTCTGGGTCACTCTGCGCCACAAACACATCGCTGAGGTGTCCCAGTAAGTACCGTATTTTTCAGACTATAAACGCTCTGGACTATAAGATTCACCTACTTTTTTTGAGGAGGAAAACAAGGGAAAAAAATCTGCCTCTGCCTCCCAGCAATTTGCCTCTTTGCAGCAAACAGCAAACAGCCTGTTTCAACCTGTTTCATTTTTAGCTTCAGCATAGCTTGATTAGCACAAGCAGCTGATTGTCGGTTGGATCGGCCTCCCCACAATCAGCTGTTTCTTTGAGTATTTAAGGTTGCACACCCCTGGTATAGGTTCTCCTACTTGAGCCGGGGGCTGGACTAGAAGACCTCCAAGATCCCTTCCAGCTCTATTCTATTCTGTTCTATTCTATTCTAAGCTCAAGCTTGCACTGCCATCTGCTGTTGAGCTTGACTCTCATGACTTCACGAACAATATGTCTATCCATTTTTTCTTGGCACTAGCCAGGAAGTGGTTTGCCATCCGACCTCACAAAGCCACTCAAGTGTCAGGTGGGGAGAATCAGGACTACATATGAATTTCATGCCTCCACACGAGAATCTAGTCAACTAATGGACAACACTGAATTGGTGCTAGGTGAGAGTTAATGGAATTCAAGAGGTGTTAGATCACTTGTGGGAACGTAATGATTCTAGGCTGATTCCTCTCTTTACTCCTACCCCACGCTCTGCCTATCTTTCCCTCACATCAAACCCACAACGAGCCATTAAAAATAGATTAATTTTTATAGCCTCCAATATTTGCTAGGTGCCAAGTATTCACCCCTTTGCAGTCGGTTTGCTTTTTCAGATCTAGAATAGAATAACAGAGTTGGAAGGGACCTTGGAGGTCTTCTAGTCCAACCCCCTGCTTAGGCAGGAAACCCTACACCACTTCAGACAAATGGTTGTCCAACATCTTCTTAAAAACTCCCTGTGTTGGAGCATTTACCATTTCTGGAGGCAAGTTGTTCCACTGGTTAATTATTCTTACTGCCAGGAAATTTCTCCTTAGTTCTAGGTTGCTTCTCTCCTTGATTAGTTTCCATCTGTTGCTTCTTATCCTGCCTTCGGGTGCTTTGGAGAATAGCTTGACTTCCTCTTCTTTGTGGCAGCCCCTGAGATATTGGAAGACAGCTATCATTTCTCCCCTAGTCCTTCTTTTCATTAAACTAGACATACCCAGTTCCTGCAACCGTTCTTCATATATTTTAGCCTCCAGTCCCCTAATCATCTTGGTTGTTCTTCTCTGCACTCTTTCAAGGGTCTCCACATCTTTTTATACATCGTGGCAACCAAATATTATATAATAATATTATATTTGTCATTAATAAATATTATATTTGTCATCCTTTTCCAGAGAAGTCACCCGATCCCTGAAGGATTTTTCTTCCAGCAAAAGGATGAATACCGGTGACAAGGTAAGATCAGAAATTAGAAGGTTTCAGGATATGATAAAATTGGATTTTAAAAACCGGAAAGCAAAGCTTAAAAATACAATATTCTCTGGAACAGCAAAGATCTTTGAAGGGAAAGAGTGAAAAGAGAAGAGAATGGGATATCCTACAACTGAGCTTATTGGCTGTAATTTTCGTGTGCATCTTTTTTTGTGAGAGCATTGTACTACACAGGTTTATGACCGCAATTGACCCAAAATTTCTATTGCTTAGCTGTTTGGTTGTTAAATGAGAATAAATGAATTCTGGAAGTTTGCAGATAGAGCTGGAAGGAATTAAACAAGTATCTGGGGTTTTACCTAACTTCTCTCTCCGGGATTCTGACAACCATCAGTTCAGTCCTTTCAACAAGCAAAATTTGGATTTCAATCCTCTTTCAATAAGGTTGCAGGAACTGGGCATGGCTAGTCTAGTGAAGAGAAGGACCAGGGGAGACATGATAGCAGTCTTCCAATATTTGAGGGGCTGCAACAGAGAGGAGGGGGTCAAGCTATTCTCCAAAGCACCCAAAGGCCAGACAAGGAATAATGGATGGAAACTGAACAAGGAGAGATTCTACCTGGAAATAAGGAGAAATTTCTGAGCGTAAGAACAATCAACCCATGGAACAGAAGTTGCCTTTGGAAGTTGTGGGAGCTTCATCACTTGAGACTTTCAAGAAGAGATTGGACTGCCATTTGTCAGAAATGATGTAGGGTCTCCTGCTTGGGTGGGGGTTGGGTGGGGTTGGACTAGATGACCCACAAGGTCCCTCCCAGCTCTGTTAATCTGTTAGGTTTTAGCATTTGATCCAGGTGAGTTCCATAATTTAGAATCCCAAGATATTTGCTGAGGATCAACCTCTCTTTCTACATTTCAGACCACCCTGAGGGACCTTTCGCAGATGCTGAAAAAGATGCCCCAATATCAGAAAGAACTCAGCAAGGTACGTTCCTTTTCTACCAGTTTACACTTAAACAATCCAGCCTGCAAAAGTACCTATGAAGCACCTTATGGCCTTCTAGGCCAGGGATCAGCAACCTGCGGCTCTGGAGCCGCATGTGGCTCTTTCATCCCTCTGCTGCGGCTCCGTCGCCAGTCGGCTCCACAATTGATAGGGCTTTCGGTTAGGATATGTAGGGGAAAAAGGACACCGTGCTAGGAGGAGACTCTATGGTGGGGGAACCAGACTTCAGAATTGAATGGGGGGCTTCCAGTTAGGACCTTTGTGGTTCTTTGAGTGTTTTAGGTTGCCGACCCCTGTTCTAGGCCATACTGAATTACATATCGCAGAAGCCTAGTTAAGAATTGTGGGAGTTAGGGCGGAGCTCATTTGACCGTTGAAACATGGGACGGAAACGAGCAAAGAAACTTGAGTGGCGATTAAATGTACTCAGGTTGTGTCCCAGTGTTTGTGAAGGGCTGGGAAGGGAGGAACGGAAGGGAGTGTCCTAGAAAAGAGCATGAGGAGTCCTTGGTGCTCTCTGAGGTTGGTTGTTTTCTTGCAGACGTTTCGTGACCCAACTAGGTAGCACCATCAGTGCTAGAAGGGAGTCTGGTTTGTGGTGTGGAAGAAAAAGAGGGTTGGGAGGAGGAGGAGGAGGAGGAGGAGGAGGAGGAGGAGGAGGAGGAGGAGGAATAGATAAGGGGTCCTTGGTGCTCTTTGAGCTTGGTTGTTTTCCTTCAGACATTTTGTGACCCAACTAGGTAACATCATCAGTGCTGAAAGGAAGTAAGTTTGCTTTCTTTCCCTTCTGATACTGATGATGTTACCTAGGTGGGTAATGAAACCATCTGCAAGAAAACAAGCAAGCTCAGAGAGCACCAAGGACCCCATAGTCCTCCTTCTTTTCTTCCTCTTTTCCTCCTCCCTACCACACCCCACTCCCTTCTTGCACTGATGATATTACCTAGTTGGGTCATGAAACATCTGCAAGAAAACAAGCAAGCTCAGAGAGCATCAATATTCTCCTCTATTAGTAGAAAAAGTCATATTTAGTTAGACTGCTGAATTCTTCTTCTTGCTTCTTGCGTTGGGCCTAGTATTCCACTCATCTCCACCTGGCTGAAGACTGCATGAAGCACTACCAAGGCACGGTCGACAAACTCTGCAGAGTTGAGCAGGTACGTCTGCTCGTGCCGTTTATGTGTGCCTAAAAAAAAGGGATAGCGTAAAAAAATTGTGCTGATACAAATAACAGGATAGAAACTGGCAGGTATTGGAGGCTTTCTCTTTTCTTGGGCTTCCCCTCCTTTTAAATGCTAAATCTTGTCCAATTTGTAAAAAAAACCCAGGTCTTTCAGTTTGCAAAATTAATTAGACTTCCAAGAGCAGCTTTTATTTGGATATAAATAAAATGATTGGCAAAGATCTTCATGATTTACAAAAGAGCAAATGTTTCTTTTCCTGACCTCCTTGTAATTTGAGCATATTTTTGAGAATAAGAACCATTTGTTTAACACTAACTTTGTTTAAGACATGCACTGTGGTTATGTTCTAAACAAAAATCCACCCAATAATCTCGCTTCCACTATAAGTAAGGAAGAACCAAGATTTTAAGAGCAAAAAACAAGATTTCTCCATGCAAGGCTCACTCAAGTCGATCTATTTGATTTTTAAATGTGTAAAGAGAAATTTCCAAACACTTAACACATTCTGCTTCATGACAAAGTAAATTTATGGATATGGTATTTTGTGAATGATCTTTTAAATAAAGAAAACATTAAGTAAAAAAAAAAATTGTGCTGACCAAAGGATGTTTGAAGAAGTGTTTTGTCGACTTATTTAGGTCTCTCTCTCCTGCCTTGAAAATCTTCCCAGAACTTGATAGACGGTTCAAGAAGTCAAAGAAACAGCAGTGCTTCTCTACTTCCTTTAACAAAGGAGTGGATTCTGGCAGGTGTTTTGACCTGGCTCCCAACACGACAAACTCTCTGTAGTTGAAGCAATGATTCCTTTATTAGAAGCGCCGGCAGCCCCGGCAAAAAGTTTCTCTTTCACCTCAAGTCTGTCCGGCAGGGAGATGAATAGTTGCCTGCCACATCTATTCATCTCCGCCCCCCTGCCTTTCATCCCCAGAGCTAGGGTGGGGCATCGCTAGCAGCGGTGGCTCTTCCGTCCCAAGGACCGGCCCATAGATTTCCACTGTTCTCCTCTCCTCTGCCTTCTGTGCATCTGTGCGTCAGGCACTGGACCCAGCTGTTCCTCCTCTTCCTCATCAGCCACCTCCAGACCTGGAGGCTGTTGACTCTCCATTTGAGGAGTGACGGATGACCCAAACTCCACCTCTGTCTCTCTCTCTGTGCCACCTCCATTTCCTCTTCCCCCTCGGAGCTCCCAGGTTGCCTTGATGCTGACTCTGACTCCCATGCCTCCTCCTCGTCCTCTGATTTGGCTGCTGGAGGGGCTGGTGGCCAACAGGCTACAACAGCAGGCTTACCTTGTCTAATTGATTGGTTTTAATGGTCCACTTATATCCCTGGACCATTTCACCCCTCCCCCCCCAAAAGAAGCTCTCCTGGAAGCTGAACCTTTAGTTCCCAGTTCATCCCAACCTCAACTGGGCAAGGAAGAGCTTTCCAATGGTCCTGACATAGTGAATTGCAGGGAGATGTTCTGTTTTACCAGGATCTGGCCATGGGCACCGATGCAGAAGGGGAGAAGATCAAGGATCCCATGCGCGCAATTGTCCCAATCCTGCTTGATGCCAACGTCAGCACCTATGACAAGATCCGGATCATTTTACTCTACATCTTTCTCAAGAACGGTAGGAGAGGCTCCTATTTAGACATTCTAGGAGGAAAGGGTTTTCACAATGCTGAAGACTCTTCTTCGCTTCCGTTGGTCGCTAGAAAATTGGAGAGTATTATAAAATATTAAGAAGAGTCAGGATGGGCATCTAAAGAAGAACTGAGGGTCGTGGGAGGTGAATCATAGAATAACAGAGTTGGAAGGGACCTTGGAGAACTTCTAGTCCAACCCCCTGCCTAGGCAGGAAAGCCTACACCACTTCAGACAAATGGTTATCCAACATCTTCTTAAAAACTTCCAGTGTTGGAGCATTCACAACTTCTGGTGGCCAGTTGTTCCACTGGTTAATTGTTCTAACAGTCAGGAAATTTGTCCTTAGTTCTAAGTTGCTTCTCTCCTTGATTAGTTTCCACCCATTGCTTCTTGTCCTGCCCTCGGGTGCTTTGGAGAATAGCTTGAATGGGTGAATGGGAAGATTGAAGCAATGGGACCATGGAAACACTTCATGTGGTTTTTCTCCTTACTCTCATTTCAATATTTTCCCCCTAATATTTGTGGGGCTGTCATAGAGAAGAGGAGGTCAGCCTATTCTCCAAAGCACCTGAGGGCAGGACAAGAAGTAACAGAATAACAGAGTTGGAATGGATTTTGCATGTCTTCTAGTCCAATCTCCTGCTCAAGCAGGAGACCCTATATATCCGTGACGGCAAACCTATGGCATGTGTGCCACAGGTGGCACGCAGAGCCATATCTGTGGGCACACGAGCATTGTCCTAGCTCAGCTCCAGTGTGCATGTGTGTGCCGGCCAGCTGATTTTCAGCCTTCCGGGCCCACCAGAAGTCAGGAAACGGGCTGTTTCTGGCCTCCGGGGGGCCTCCAGCGGGACGGGGAAGGCAGTTGAGATATACAAAAATGATCACCATAGAAAAGACGAGATATACAAAAATGATCACCATGTCAGTTAATATTTAGTTGGGTAACCTTTAGCAGAATGACAGCCTTACAACGTCTTCCCATGGAGTGAACCAAGTCTTTGAGTTCTGCAGCTGTTCTAATGTGAAACCAAGATGGAAGGATGGCTTCTACTAACTGGGTTTTATTGCTGGGTCACTTCTGACTAACAAGTTTCTTTAGTTAGCTCCATCAATTTTCAATTGGGTGAAGATTTGGGCTATTCCCAGGCCATTCCAGCAGTGGAATAGGATTATCTTGAAACTCCACCCAAAAAGTGGTGTTATTAGCCATCAAACCTCAAAAATACACTTTTCCCAAAAGGTTTTCCACAATTTTGGCCACAACTATACTCACCCCACCTCCGTTTTGGTTGTCTGGTTGAGGCTGCTTAGTGAGTCAAGCCATGACAGGTTGGTGGGATGCAAGTGTGTTGACTCCCATCTCCTAGAATATGCACATATGGTCTTTCTCCATCCTCCTCCCCAGGGATCACCGAGGAAAACCTGAACAAACTGATCCAGCATGCACAGATCCCTCCTGAGGACAGCGAGATCATCACCAATATGGCCCACCTTGGGGTGCCCATCGTCACAGATGTAAGTCCTTATGAGAGTTTGTTGCAGAAACCAATCATCCAGAAAGCACACCCAGGCAGACGATGCAGCAGTCTGCATTAACTTCTCTTTATATACATAATAACGCATGAAGATAAATGTACAATACCAATAGCTGATTCTTCCAACGTAGCAGTTACTAGCAAAACACAAGCAGACTAGTTTCAGTTTCAATTCTCAGCAGAGACCCAGGAGCTAAGCCTGCACAGCTAAGCCACGCCCGGACTTCCTGCTTTAAGTTTCTGTTTCCAATTCAGCTCCCATTGGCTGATCTGTTGCCATGCGTATTCATTGGCTGACCTTGTTACTATGTCTTCCCAGCAGTGGTGAAATGTAAAATTTGTTACTACCTAGTTGGGTAATGAAATGTCTGAAAAAAACAGCTCAGAAAGCACCTCCAATCTCTCCCGGAAGCCTTCTTCCCCTAGAAGAACCTTAGAAAGTTCGAAATTTACTCTTGCATTGTGAATAAGCCTGGTCGATAACCCTCTGACTCCATTGTCTCTCTCTCTCTTGTGTCCAGTCCACCTTACGTCGTAGAAGCAAGCCAGAGCGGAAGGAGCGTATCAGTGAGCAGACTTACCAGCTCTCCCGATGGACTCCAGTAGTTAAAGACATTATGGAGGTACGTAAAGAGGGGTGGCTCTCTTGAAGCAGGGGTGAAATGCTACCGGCCGCGGCATGTGGTTCGGGGAACCGGTAGCGATGGCAGCGTGAAGCTCCACCCAACCACCCGGACGTCATTACTTCCTGGTTTTAACACACATTTCCGAACCAGTAGGGAAGGTAAGTAGATTTCACCCGTCTTGAAGGCGTGAATCTCTTTGCTTTATGCCTAATACACACACTTGATCACTTGCAGAAGCTCCAGATGTGTTAATTATTATTATTATTTTCTATTTCTTTCAAGGATGCTCTAGAGGATAAACTGGACACCAAGCATTACCCGTATATCTCCACTCGCTCAGCTGCTTCCTTTAGCAGTACAGGTGCTGTCAGGTAAGAAGGGAGCATTCCGTAACAAACTACAGGTAGCCTCTCGACTTAACGACCACAATTGAGCCCCTAAAATTTAGGTTGTTAATTGAGACATTCGTTAAATGAGTTTCGCCCCATTTTACGACATTTTTTTTTCTTTCTTTTTTTTTGGCCGGGCTACTTGGGCTGAATTGATAAGTTAGCAAGCCAGTCGTTAAGTGAATCTGCTTGTCAGAAGATCGTAAAAGGGGATCACAGGACACACCCACACACACCTGGGACTCAACCGTCATAAGTCTGAACCAGCAGTGGCTGAATTGGGATCGTGAGGGAGGGGCTGCAAAGGTAGTAACTGTGAAAAACGTTCGTAAGTGGCTTTTTCCAGTGCCGTTGTAACTTTGAACAGTCACTTAAATGAACTGTTGTAAGTCGAGGACTATCTGTATCAGGGTTTAGGGAAGCGTAATTAGGTTTAAGGGAAGCCTAGATTGAATTAAACTCAATTAGATCTGAGTTAAATGAAGTCTGAATTGGAGACCTGTCAGCTTATCAGTTGGGGAAAGAATGTATGTGGACATTTTTAATTTATTTGTTTGTAAAATTTATTGGCCACCCATCTTACCTCAGGTTAATGGGACATTGTATCTCCCCATCTTGGATCTCTCTCTCTCTCTCTCTCATTATCTATCATCTACCTACTAGTTATCTATCAATCCCTGTCATCATTTAATTGTAAAATCTATCTATCTATCTATCTATCTATCTATCTATCTATCTATCTATCTATCTATCATCTATCTATCTGTATCATTTATTAATCATCTCTCTACCTACCTACCTACATTATCTCTCACTATTTACACATCTATCATTTATCTGTATCATATTTATTCATCTATCAGTATCTATCTATCTATCTATCTATCTATCTATCTATCTATCTTTCATCTATCATCTATCTACCATATCTACCAATCTATCTACCCACCCACCCACCTACCTACCTACCATCTATTAATCATCTACCTACCTACATTATCTCTCTCTCTTTACACATCTATCATCTATCTGTATCATATTTACTCATCTATCAGTATCACTCTATCACTCTCTCTACCTATCATCTATCCACCATATCTATCTACCAATCTATCTACCAATCTATCTACCTACCTATCACTCTCTCTTATCTATTTATACATCTATTATATCTATCTATCTATCTATCTATCTATCTATCTATCTATCTATCTACCTATCACTCTCTCTTATCTCATCTATTTATACATCTATTATATCTATCTAGCTATCTAGCATCTATCTATCTATCTATCTATCTATCTATCTATCTATCTATCTATCTAGCTAGCTAGCTAGCTATCTCTCTCTCTCTTATCTCATCTATTTATACATCTATCATACCTATCAATCTATCTTGCAATGTTGCATTTAATTACTGCATAATGGGGGCTCTTCCAGATCATATCCTTATTTCCCCTCCCCCCTTTTTCTTTTCATCCTTACTCCTGGTTTTCAGTGCCCGCTACGGACACTGGCACAAGAACAAGGCTCCCGGAGAATACCGAAGTGGTCCTCGCCTCATTGTTTTCATCCTGGGCGGGGTTGCTCTGAGCGAGATGCGCTGCGCCTACGAGGTGACGCAAGCCAGCGGAAAGTGGGAGGTGTTGATAGGTAAGTCCTTGTCTAGTCCTTGTCCTCTTCAGCTCATGCTTGCTTTGCTCCGCTCTGCTCTGTCTTCCATCATCTCCATCTATCTGTCTCCTCACCTTTCTCTTGACTTCGAGGCCACCTGCCCACAAACTCAGTGCTCCCTGAATGTGTTCTCCCTGGGGAGCAAGATTACTTCCACTGTCCTGTCCTATTCTCTACTCCATCCATTCCTACAACCCTTCAGGATATTTGAGGGGCTACCACAAAAATGCGAGAGGGCCAACCTATTCTCCAAAGCATTAGAAGGCAGGACAAGAAGCAAGGGATGTAACTAAAGAGAAATTCCCTAACCGTGAGAACAGTTGGTTGCGAATGCGCCAACACTGGAAGCTTTTTAAGAAGAGATTGGACCACCATTTGTCCGAAGTGGTGTAGGGTTTCACCCTACACTAGGGTTTAACTAAGGGTTTCACCCTAGGGTTTCACTAAGCAGGGGGTTGGACTAGAGTAACAAGGTTGTTAAGTGAATCTGGCTTCCCCATGGACTTGGCTTGTCCGAAGGTCACAAAAGGGGAAATCACATGATCCCAGGACACTGCAACCGTCATAAATATGAGTCAGTTGCCCAGTGTCTAAATTTGAATTGTGACCAATGGGGATGCTGCAATGGTTACAGGTGTGAAAATAAGAGCTTATATCAGGGGGATGCAGTGGCTTAGTGGCTAAGACGCTGAGCTTGTCGATCAGAAAGGTCGGCAGTTCAGCGGTTCGAATCCCTAGTGCCGTGTAACAGGGTGAGCTCCCGTTCCTTGTCCCAGCTTCTGCCAACCTAGCAGTTTGAAAGCACATAAGAAATGCAAAAATAGGGACCGCCTTTGGTGGGAAGGTAAAAGCGTTCCGTACGCCTTTGGCGTTGAGTCATGCCGGCCACATGACCACGGAGGCGTCTTTGGACAGTGCTGGCTCTTCGGCTTTGAAGCGGAGATGAGTCAGGAACGACTAGCACATATGTGCGAGGGGAACCTTTACGTTTACCAGCCTCCGAACTACACATGGTCCATCCTCACGAACACCGCACTCCTTCGAACTGCTATCTTTCCGTTCCTCCCTTGTTTTGGGGAGGAATTTTTCCTCTCTTAGGAAGGTAGCTTTCCCCAAACTCCCTTTTTCTTGACTTTCCTCCTCCATCGCTGTCTCCTTCCCCGTGTCATCTCACTTTTGTGTGTGTTTAAAAGCGTGTGTGATACGTCTCCGGCTTTGTTTAGCGTTGCTTCTAATGTTGAACGTTGCTCTTTCGGCGATGGGTTTAATTGGGCAGTTGCTCCTTCTGCAAAGCATATTTATTTATATGGGATGGTTGGGGGGGGGGAGAATTCTTTCCCCTGTTTATAAGACTCACATTCTTTTGACTTTTGCTCCCGTCGCAAAAATTGCCCAAGCAACTTCCTTTATTCACCATGTCCCAGTTCTGAGGTTTTTTGTTTTTAGTTTTAAAATTGAAGTTTCCTAAAGTTGTGCCACTTGGATAGCCTAATCTGTATTTCTTTTTTTAAAAAAATAATAATAAGCATTAGGATGGGACATTAAACAGTTCAGCAATTTAAACCTTCCATTATCTATATACTGTATGTATCTATACCGAGGCGGTGAACGTATCAGTGTTTCCTTTAGAGTTAACTCTGGCAGATGTGGTTGTGGGGAGTTCTGTTGCAGCACCCCACAATGAGGTTTTATGTCTTCCCCCACAGCTGCTTTCTTTGCTCTCTCTCTCTCTCTCTCTAGGTGTGATTGTGTGATTGTGTTTTTCTTGCCATTTCTGCTTCATGTATCATCACTGGCTTCCATCACAGTGATTTTTGGTGATATGAACTGTGTTGTAAGATTTTTTTTTTAAAAAAGGCATAAACAAAATTTTTTGGCATGTTGCTTTTCTTTCTTTCTTTTCCTTCCTTCCTTGTTTCCTCCCTCTCTCCCTCCCTTTCTTTTTTCTCTTTCTCTTTCCTTCCTTCCTTCCCTTCTTACTTTTCTTCCTTCCCTTCCTCCCTTCTTTCTTACTTCCATTTCTTTCTTTCCTTTCTTCCTTCTCTCCTTCCTCTCCTTCCTTCCTTCCTTTCCTTCCTTCCTTTCTTCTTCCTTCCTTCCTTTTCTTCCATTTCTTTCTTTCCTTCCTTTCTTCCTTCTCTCCTTCCTTCCTCATTCCCTTTTCTTCCTTCCTTCCTTCCATTTCTTTATTTCCTTCCTTCCTTCTCTCATTCCTGTTTCCCTCCCTCCTCCCTCCTTCCCTTCTCTTCCTCTCTCTCTCTCTTTCTTTTCTCTTTCTTTCTTCCCTCCCTCCTCCTTTCCTTTCTCACTTTCCTTCCTTCCTTCCATTTCTCTTTCCTTCCTTTCTTCCATCTCTCATTCCTGTTTCCCTCCCCCCTTCCTTCCTCCTTCCCTTCTTTTCCTCTTTTCCTCTTTTTCTTTTTTCTTTCTTTCTTTCTTTCTTTCTTTCTTTCTTTCTTTCTTTCTTTCTTCTTTCTTTCTTTCTTTCTTTCTTTCCTTTCTTTCTTTCTTCTCTCTCTCTCTCTGTCTTTCTTTCTCTTTCTTCCTTTCTTTCACCGAGAGTCAGCCCGCGCTCTATTTTCTCGCAGGTTCTACTCACATTCTTACTCCCACCAAATTTCTCATGGATCTGAGACACCCCGACTTCAGAGATTCTACTAGGGTCTCTTTTGAGGAACAGGCTCCAACAATGGAATGAGAGCCAAAGAGAACTAAAAAAAGTAAAAGCAATTTATCTTGAGAAGAAACTCTTCCTTTTTTTTCCTCCCCCCCCGGAAGGGCTTCTTTTGATATTTCTATCTTCCCCTTTCTTCTTGCTTTTCCATTGGTTTCTTTCTCCCTCCTCCTTTTTTCTGATTTCTTTTTTCTTGGTATGAGAAAATGTTTGCTTCAAAACGGCAATTTTGAAAATGTTTATGAGGCTGCTTCCATGCCAAAACTGGACCATGGTTTTCTTGTAAGCAGAACTTGCCAACTTGAACTAGAAAGTCAAGCTTTCAAGCAATGCCTTGGCATCACTGTGGATGCTTGCCCCATTGCGAATTCTTATCTATGGTTCCACCTCTTTGTTTTCTCTCTACTATAACTGTCAGCCAATGCAATCCTAAATTGCATTAACAGAGGGATACAATCAAGAACAAGGGAGGTACTAATACCACTCTATAAAGCCTTAGTAAGACCACACCTAGAGTCCTGCATCCAGTTTTGGTCACCACACTATAAAAAAAATGTGGAGACTCTAGAAAGAGTGCAGAGAAGAGCAACAAAGGTGCTTAGGGGAGTGGAGGCTCAAACATATGAAGAACGGTTGCAGGAACTGGGCATGGCTAAGTCTAGTGAAGAGAAGGACCAGAGAAGACTAGTGGTCTTCCAAAACTTGAAGGGTTGCCACAGAGAGGAGGGGGGGGTCAAGCTATTTTTCAAAGCACCAAATGGCAAGACTAGAAACAACAGATGGAAACTAACCAAGGAGAGATTCCAGCTGGAAATAAGGAGGAGTTTCCTGACCGTGAGAACAATCAACCCATGGAACAGAAGTTGCCTTCAGCAGTTGTGGGAGCTTCATCCTTGGAAGCTTTCAAGAAGAGACTGGACTGCCATCTGTCATAAATGGTGTAGGGTGTGCTTGGGCGGGAGGTTGGACTAGATGACCTACAAGGTCCCATCCAACTCTGTTCATCTGTATCTAACTCAAGCACAATCAGGTACTAGACAGGACTGGATCACTCCAATCCCTAGGTGGGGGAAAACTCCCTTTGCGATGGCCCTCTCCTGTTCATAGCAACCACCAACAAATGGAACTTTATCTGTCTTGCATGGGCTACTATGGCCTCAGGGCTCTACCTGCAATCTGACGTGGTACAGTCCACGGTGCTTCATATCTGGTGTCCTTGTAGACAACCGACAGGTAAAAATCTGAGAAAAGGAAAGAGTCGAAAGGAAAGGATTGATTTCATTGGCCCTCACTCCTTCAGACAAAGGGACTGTTTACGAGGAGCAATGGATGATGAGCAGTGATGATAGCTCCATAGAAACCACGAGATCCAGAACAATGCACATCTGGATCTAGTCATTCTCCATGTTTTGGAGAAGGAACATAGCCAACTTTGCTGTTCAGTAAGTTGTGGTTGATGATATTGGGTGGATGCAACCGCCTCGAAATAAAGAGAAGTTTCCCGAGAGTCAGAGCAATCAATCAATGGAAGGGAGGTTGTGGAATACTAGTGGGTTCCACTTACCTTCACTACTAATTCGGAACTGTGTATACCCAGAGCATCCGTGATGATGTCCGGGTGGGTGGGCGGAGCCTCCTGCCACCACTACCGGTAGAAACCCACCACTGTTGTGGAAGCTTCAACACTGGAGGCTTTCAAGAAGAGACTGGGCGGCCATTTGCCTAAATTGGTCTAGGGTCTCTTTGAGCAGGGAGTTGACTAGAAGACCTCTAAGGTCCCTTCCAACTCTGTTATTCTGTTACTTAAGGAGAATCCTATGGAATTAAAGGGTGCTTAGTTCAATGTGCATAAGATTGCTGTCTATTGCCCCAAGTCTATTGGACTCGCATCATAAATAGAGATTCAATGCTTTCTATAACCTCCTGTCTGGGCTGATTGGATGCTGCAGTAAACCTCTTTTGAATTAACCCTGGGGAAAGGAAACCATATAGGTCTCTCCTTCTATCCAGTCCCAAATAATTTTGGATTTTCTTCTTGCCTGTCTCCTCAATGATGCAGGATTCAGGGTAATGTAGTGGGGAAAAAATTGGCTTCTTCTGGCAAAAATTATTCTTTATTCTCCATCACTTAAACCAGGGGTGGGATTGAAAAATTTTAGCAACTGATTCTCTGCCTGATTGATGGGTGGGCATGGCCATGGGAGCGAGGCCTCGTCAGCTTCCTGCACCATGGCAAGGGGGGGGGCGTTTTTGCCCTCCCCAGGCTCTGGAGGTTTTTTCGAGTCTCCGGGAGGGCAAAAAACGGCCTCCCCTGGGCTCTGGAGGCTGCAAACAGTCCTGTTTCCAGACTCCTGATACTTCCGGTAGGCATTTTTCACCTTCCCAAAGCCTCCGCGTGGGCCCTGCACTTACCTGGCATCCAAAATGGGCCACATGGGGACTCCTGAGAGAGGCAGGGCGGGGCAGGCAGGGTCAGTAAGTCCTTGCAACTACCGGTTCGGCAAACCAGATTAAAATTAACATCCGATTCGTCTGAACCGGCTGAATCCCATCCCTGCTTAAAGCGATGGCCATTGGCATGTATGGATAAAACTCCCATCTGCTTTGATTTGGAGAAAGGGGGCCTTCTCTGAAGAAGTCCTCTTGGCCATTGCATGCCCAGATGATCCTACATGGTCTCCATCTACTGCCTCTCTTGGTAGATGATGCCCCAGCTCTTGATCTTTATGACAAATTCTGCATGTCCTCCTTCATGTCCTCACTGCACTTTGATTGCTGTGTGATTGGTCGGTTTTTTTTCTTTTTCTTTTACAAATATATATATATTGATTTCTTTTGGTGATGGGTGGTTTCCATTTTGATTCAAGTTATTTTTCCTCCCGCGCTTAGATGTAGTTCCATAGGCTTAACCTTCTGCAAACATTTCTCTTAATATATATATATATATGAGTGTATATATTGATACATGGGCCCAGTCTCGTGACAGGGAAGGGATCAGGGGTGGGGGGTACATCCCTTTCTGCTTTAAATCCCAACAAATCTTATATGTGGAAGGGTGGGCAATCATCCCGAAGGTGCTTTTTCAAAAGGCAGCTGGGCTTTGTTTTTCCTTGAAGAGGTTTCGCTTCTCATCCCAGAAGCTTCTCCAGTTCTGACTGAACTGTCTGAACTCTCTTCACTCAGAAGTGAAGAAGCTTCTGGGATGAGAAGCGAAATCTCTTCAAGGAAAAACAAAGTCCAGCTGCCTTTTGAAAAAAAAAACCCTTTGGGACAACCATGACCCAGATGATTGAGAATCTCCGTAGATACGAAGGGTGGGCAATTTTGAGTTTTTCCTCCCCCTCTATAAAAATCTCTCTTTACCCTTCTTCCCCCCCCCTCTCTGCCTTCAGAGTAGATATTTTGTGGGATGGGTCACCCTTTTGAGCTGAGCCGAAAGCTTTTCAACCTTTGTGGGGGTGGGAGTGAGTGAGTGAGTGGACTGATGGGAGGGGGGAGGGCGATCCCCAAAATGACTGCCATGGTCACTCTGCAGTCATCCAGAGGTTGAGGAGCTGCTAGTCGCCACAACACAGCTGGCCTGGCAAAGGATCCTGGGAGTGGTAGTCCAGGGAGATTTGCCAAAGCCTCAGATAGCCCACCCTTAAATTTAGGCGCTCTTACGCTCTTCCTTTTTTTTTTTTTGAAATCCGATTGTCGTCTTTTCCTTTTTTCCTTCCTTCAGGTTCCACACATATCCTCACCCCACAGAAATTGCTGGACACGCTGAAGAAACTGACCAAAACGGACGAAGAAAGCAGCAGTTAAACACGCATCGTCTTCATTTTTTCCTCTTCTCTCTCTCTCTCTCTCTCTCGTTGACCTGCTCCCCGAACATCAACTGAAGCGTTGAAAAGCTGGCCTCGCGGTTGACTTCTGGGCCTCCTTTCCAACATGGCCTCTTCTTGAGTTTAAACGCAAGACTTCCCTGAATCATCCCTCATGATTCCTTCCTCCTATGAAGCCAAGCTAAATAGGAAACAAAATAATAATAATAATAATAATAATATATGCACCGTGTCTAAAGGACGAGTGGGGAAAGATAAAAGAGTAATATATTCTATACTATAGATGTGATCTCTGTATGTACCCAAGAAAATAAAATTTGTCAGGTTCAAACTGCCCATGTTGGAAAATCCCACCGCTTCATCATTGGAGAGATAAGACAACGGTGATTATATTTTCAATACTGTCTTTTGGTTCTTCCCCCCCCCTTATTTCATTTTCCCCCCTGCTTGGATGGACGAATGCTTGTGACTTATTTATGGCTCTGTAATCCTGTACTTAACCCCCCCACCCCAGATGCAAACTGTGAATATTGTCTCCTAGGCGTCGCAATTTGCTTGCATTTTTGGAAATAACTGTACTAACTTCTCTCCTTTCCCCTTCTCACATTGCTGTCGTTGGGGTTGTCGTCTTGATTATGTATTTCTTCTACTTGGTTTTGTTCTGTTTTTTTTTTTTTTTTTAGTTCCTTGATATATGCAGCCAGGCTGGCTTTTGAGAGATAAATGATATATCTATATCTATATCTATATATACATATATTTTCTGGATGTAACTTGGTTGTTTCTCCTCCCTCCTCTTCTCTTTTGGGAGTATGTCATACCTGATCTGACTCATGTTTTCCCACCAAAGCATGACATAACTTGCTTTCTCACAGCCTGTCCAACAAATGAAGATTGTTTTTTTCCCCTATCTCAAGTCTCCTGATGGCTTTAAATTTTGCCCAGGCATGCTGGCCAGTAAATATCTGTGGAACCTCGTGGTAGTATTTTGGTGCAAAGAAATTTAAAAATAATAATAATAATAGAGACATAATTTGCTTCTGGAAACCATTTGTCCTTGGTTGGCGAGATTTCTAGCCCATTTAGGAGACCGAGAATATTTTTTTTTTCTTCCTCATTGCCTTTGAGCTCATCCTACCACTTCCTGCAAGGAGGGATAAGTTGAGAAAGAGAGAATCTGTGCCCTAAATCTTGCAAGTCACCCGCTTAGTTTTAAGAAGAGCCTTCCCAATATGGTTCAAATCTGCTCTATGTCTTTTGGAGTTGTCCGAAAGATTGCTTTTTCAAAAGGCAAGTGGACTTTTGTTTTTTTCTTGGAAGAGGTTTCGCTTCTTGTCCCAGAAGCTTCTTCAGTTCTAACTGAACTGTCTGAAGACTGAACTCTCTTCAGTCAGAAGTGAAGAAGCTTCTGGGATGAGAAGTGAAACCTCCTCAAGGAAAAAAAACGAAGTCCAGTTGCCTTTTGAAAAAGCATCTTTGGGACAACCATGACCTGGATGATTGAGAATCTCCATAGATGACTTTTGGGGCTTCCCCAAAAGTTTGTTTCTTCCAACTTGTTTTTGTTCTCCAGCTTCCTTCGGTGAGTTTAGAGAAGGACTCTTCTACCATCTCCTAAGCTTTATTTTATTAGGTTTTTTGGTTTCATGTTGGTTGGCTGAACCCAAGAAGAACTTTGAGTCTTCAGGGCTGATCTTGTTCTGCCTGAGAAGGTAGGGATGGGCTCCCAGCTGTAGTAGTCTCCATATTTGAGCAAGCTAGTGTGATGTCCCGCTTCCTGAGGTCTTGATGCAGTTTTCGGAGAAAAGGAGGAGATATTCTGTTTTCTCTGTTGAGGAAACTCAACTGCAGCTTGGAAGACGAAGTTACCGATCCTGCCATGTTCACCTCTGCTTAACAGTTTTTTTGGTAATTTTCTTTTTTTCAAGCATGGGTCAAAAAACGTGTCTGTCCACCTATCTATCACTTTAGCTATCGTCTATCTGTCTCTATCCATTTCAATATCCCTTATTACGACCCTGTAATTCCTTTACCCATTCAGGGTAGAGTGGAGGTAAATTGGGGGCATCTGAGTATTTACTGGAGATCAATAGATCTGTATCCATCCATCTCTGGATCTATCTCTCACTTACTCTAGCTACCTAGTTGTCTTCCATCAACTCTTTTTCATTCATTTTATCCTATATATATCTATCATCTATCCTTTATCTCTGCATCAATTCCATCTGTTATCTGCCTGTCTACATCTATCTATCTATCTATCTATCTATCTATCTATCTATCTATCTATCTATCTCTGTCTGTCTGTCTATCTCTCTCTCTATCTGTTATATATCACTCTTTCTCTCTCCATCCCTTATCATCTGCCTGTCTGTCACCTATTTGTCTGTCTGTCTGTCTGTCCGTCTTATCTGTATCTATCTTGCCCCCTTCCTCTTAAACTCCCCCATTGCAGGGCATTCTCTTCTCTTCCCAGCAGAGGGACGAAGGAGAAAAAATATCTCCTATTATTGAGGTAACAAGTAACAGAGTTGGAAGGGACCTTGGAGGTCATCTAATCCAACCCCCTGCTCAGGCAGGAGACCTGTACTAGGGATTCGAACCGCTGAACTGCCGACCTTTCTGATCGACAAGCTCAGGGTCTTAGCCACTGAGCCAGGTTTGCTTCCAGCTTTGCGTCTAGCAATACTCCCTTGCTCTTCATATTCTGTCGTCTTAAGGATGAAAGTCGATTTTGAACTACGTATATTTTGCACGGCAAACTATTCAGACTCTCCCTTTCTCAATCTCGCCTTGCATAAATCTTCTTTTATAAATATATATATATATATATATATGCACACACCATGGTGATTCTAGAGAATGTCTTTCTTTTCCTGTTTGTTTGCTTTAGTGATTTTTTTTTTTTTTGTTATTTATATTCCAATGATTTATGATCGAAAGGGAAGGGGGGAGGCGGGGAAAAAAACGCCACGTTCAACACTGAAAGGGTTAACTGGACGCTGTCTTGAGACGCTGTTTTGAGTTCTTGAGATGTCGATGTTGAAGCACAACGATGTGTTCTTTCTGTATCGCTGTTCTGTATTTTAAAAGCGCTCGAGAATTAATAAAACTTTGCTGTCCTGTCCAAAGAACTCTTGGAGTGGCTGGTTTGTGAAAACAGCGGTCTGATTAAAAAATTAAAAAAAAAACAATGGGGAAAGGCGACGTAATGCTGCATTCGGATGATGTCACTCCCACGAAGTGCATGATGTCATCTATATCTTTTTCGGGAAACGCTGAATATTTTACCTTTCCTCCTGAAACAGATGCCAGCTAGGGTCTAAGAGAAGACTAGGGCGATGTAATGCCACGTTCCACTGATGTCGTCTTTCTGGTACATTACATCATCTATTTATAGGGAAAACTTAGAAATAAGGGGCTCCTGCCTGTCCTCCAACCTTCCCAGGGGCTGCCTGGTGGTCCAGAACCCCCAGTCCCATTTCTACTCGAGCCCCAGAGAGCGCTTAGCCTTCCTTATGGTCCAACTTTCCCAGCCATCCATTGCAACTGGGAAAACCCCAGAGAGCGCTTAGCCTTCCTTATGGTCCAACTTTCCCAGCCATCCATTGCAACTGGGAAAACCATCGCCTTGACTAGACACACTTTTGTTGGCAGGTTGATGTCTCTGCTTTTTAGAATGCTGTCTAGATTTGCCATAGCTTTCCTCTCCTCTTCCTAAGAGAAGGCAACCCAACTCTGTGCCAGCCAGGGACCAGGGGGAAAAAAAAGTGGTGACATAATGCCACATTCCAATGATGTCATCTCTGTTGGGTATTACGTCGTCTCTTTTTTGCTAGAGAAAATCTAAGCTTCTGGCCTGTTCACTTGGGTCTGTGCCAGGAGTGACATAATGCCACATTGCAATGATGTCGTTTCTGTTGGGCATTAGGTCGTCTCTTATTTCTATCTGCTCTTCTTTTTTTTTTTTTCCCATTTTTTTGATTAAAAGAAATTTGTTGTTTTAAGTTCTGAGAAGTTCTGGGCTAATACTTTTGCTTTTAAATTGTCCCCCTCAAATCTCTTTGTTTTTTTTTTTTTTTTTTTTTGTGGCTCCCAAAATTATTTACTAATTTTGTACCCACCAGAGATTTTAGTAGCAAACCAAACATTTATTGAACAATGAAACAAAGGAAAACAGAGCAAAACAAATAGATGATTATTTTCAAGACGACAAGAAGGCTTCAACATTGGTTTTGACGCAATTCCAATGTCAATGATTTCAAATAATAGCTGGGGAGCAATAAAGGAGATTATTTGTGGACTGTAGGGGTTCTTGGTGTTTTGTCCAAGTTTTATTGTTTTTCTTCCAGACATTTCGTGACCCAACTAGGTAACATCCCCAGGGTTAGAAGAGTGTGGGGTTTTCTCTCTTGGTAGTTCCTTGATAGAGTGAAAAGAAGTTCAGGAAAGAAGGAAGGAAGGAAGGAAGGAAGGAAGGAAGGAAGGAAGGAAGGAAGGAAGGAAGGAAGGAAGGAGGGAGGGATGGACAAAGGAAGGAAGCAACTGAGGGAGAGAGGATGGAAGGAAGGTAGGTGGGAGGGCTGGAGGAAGGAACAAAGGAAGGAAGCAAGGGAGAGAGGGAGGAAGGAATGAAGGAAAGGTGGGAGTGATGGAGGGAGGATGGATGGAAGATTGGAGGGAGGGAGGGAGGAAGAATGGATGGAGGGTTGTAGGGAGGAGGAAGGAGGGGAGAAGGTGAAGGGATGGAGGGAGGAAGAATGGATGGAAGGTTGTAGGAAGAGGGAGGGAGGAGAAGGAAGGAGGAGGGAGGAAGGAGGATGGATGGAAGAAGGTTGGAGGAGGGAGAGCGAAGGAAGAAAGGAGGGAGGAAGAATGGATGAAGGTTGGATGGAGGGAAGGAAGGAGGAAGGGAAGGTGAGGAGAAGGATGGATGGAAGGTGGATGGAAGAGGTGGAAGGGGAGGAAGGGATGGAAGGTTGGATGGAAGAAGGTTGGAGGAGAAAAGGATGGATGGAAGGTTGGATGGAAGGAAGGTTGGGGAGATGGATGATGGATGGAAGAAGGTGGAGGGAGGAAGGATGGATGGAAGGTTGGAGGGAAGGATGGATGAAGGGTGGAGGAACGAAGGAACCATTGTTAGCAAATACACAAAACAGCTGAGCCAAGACCATAGATTACACATCAAATTTCCCATCAATTAATTAACTGTGCCCAAGGATCAACGATCAGATTCCTGGTTGGGAATCCGCTTGCTGCTTCTCAGCAGATATTTTACCCCCGAGTTCCACACTGGAGAATCAACGCAGCCCCATTCGTTGGACGCTCCCTATCAGAGTCCACACCGCATCCGAAATATCAAGAAACAGAATTAGTGGCATGGCTTTCAAGCAATTTTAAAATTGGCACCTCAGGACTCTCTGCTGCAACAGCTGATTTTTAACATACATATATAGCATCCCAATGGCGAGTACTGCCTTCACACAACCCGTTTCACTCAGAACATCCAGACACAAACACAGGCAGTCCTGACTTACGACCACGGCCCGACGTTTCTGTCATTAAGCGAGACATCGTTGAAGTGAGTTTTGACTCCTTTTGACGACACTTCCTTTCCGCCCGCAGCTGTTAAGTGACTAAGTGGTCGTTAAGCGAATCTGGCTTCCCCTTCGGCTTTGCCGGTCCGGAGGTTCGCAAAAGGGGATCAGGTGACACACCCCCACCCCCACGCGGAGGGCGCTGCGACCGTCGTAAATATGAACCAGCTGCCAAGCATCTTGAATTTTTGATTGGGTGAACCTGGGGCGGCTAGAAACGTCGTTAAGTGGGAAAACGCAAACAGCAGCGGGTTTCACATTTTGTTACCACCGGTTCGCCCACTGCGCGCCTTCCCTGCATGTGCTTTGCTCCCACGTGTGCCTTCCGCGTATGCACCCTGCCTCAAAAACGATCTTAAATAAGACGGAATGGAGCCGGGGTGGATTTTCCGCTACCAGTTCATCTGAACCGGCTGAATCCCAGCTCTGAACGCAAGTCCCTTTGTTCCGTGCCCTCGTTAACTTCGAACGGTCACTAAACGGGCTGTTGTAATTCGAGGAACACCTGTAAAGGGATGTTTTCTTCCGAATACACAAACCTCTTAGCAAATCCAGCAGCATCTGTTTTTTTTTTTTTCTTTTCCAATTCCTTTTGAGGCACAATGTTCGCGCAAACACACCTATCCATTTGGGCACGTGACTGTATGATTCAGCTTGAACAATTTACTCTCCCAAACATCTCATCGCACACATATTCTTCAAATGTTTTTTTTTAAAAAGTAAAGTGCTACTGGATTAAGCTTTCGGCTCTTTGGGGGGTCCCTGGAAGAAGCCCTAACAGCAATCTTCAGCTGATGGATGGCTCGTTGATGCTGAAGAAACACTTGAAAAGTTCCGAGAGTTAAGGCAAAGACTTAAGGAGGGTGTGCTGGCTGAGGAATTCTGGGAGTTGAAGTCCACAAGTCTTAATTAAGGTGGTCAAGGTCGGATGCCCCTGACTTAAGGTGGATGGATGGATCAACTCCATTGGAAGAACGCTCCATGCTGGAAGATGGGAGATCCAAGGCCGTTGGCCAAAGTTATAGTACAAACGTTTCAAGGAGAATATTGGTAGCTCAGGGTTGAAAGGAGGGGGTCCTTGGTGCTCTCAAGAGCTGGGTTGTTTTCTCACAGACGTTTCATGATCCAACTAGGTAACATCATCAGTGCAAGGAGGGGTAAGGTGGGAGGAGGAGGAGGAGGAGGGGGAATGGGAAGGAGGAGGGGGAGGAGGACTGCGGGGTCCTTGGTGCTCTCTGAGCTTGCTTGCCTTCTTGTAGATGTTTCATGATCCAATTAGGTAGCATCATCAGTGCGAGGAGGAGTGGGGTGGGAGGAGGAGGGGAGGAGGATGAGGAGAAGGAGAAGGAGGAGAAGGAGATGGAGGAGACGGGGAGGAAGAGGCCTGTGGGATTCTTGGTGCTCTCTCAGCTTGGTTGCCCTTGTTGCAGATGTTTCATTACCCAACTGCTGAAACTCTGATGATGTTACCTAATGGGTAATGAAACGTCTGCGAGAAAACAACCAAGCTCGGAGACCCTCAAGGACCCCCTCAAAGCAAACCTTCCTTAGAATATATTCGAAGAAGGCAGGCATCTCGTTTCTTCCGTTCCTCACCTTGCTAGCTGAACCTTGCCTCTTGTGCCTAAGCTGCCTATTACTATTATTATTACGGTATTATTATTATTAACATTATTAATAGCAAGATCCCTGAGAGGAAGCTACAAAGCCCACGTCAAAGTGGCTTTCCAAAATAGCAAAAGTCATCCCAATCGTTCGAAGAAGGGAGAAAAATAAAGGAAGCACTGTTGCAAGAGGCTTACTTTCCCCCAAACGCCGAGGATACGCTATGCTCCCCAGCCAATGAGGAGGTTGCAAGCATTGTTCTTTGGCACACAAAACCCAACAAAACGTGTGGCCGGAGTCCAAACGAGCAAGCGACTCGGTCCGTTTAATTGGTCCCCCGTTCCGTCTAGGAAAATGGCTCTCCAACCTTGGCAACTTTTAAGACTTGTGGACTTCAACTCCCAGAATTCCTCAGCGAGCAAAGTTGAGGAATTCTGGGAGTCGAAGTCCACAAGTGTTTTAAAGTTGCCATGGTTGGAGAGCTCTGGCTTTCTCCTCTTTTAGGTCCATTCCGATCAGAAGAGACAGGATGTTCTGGGATTCCTTGCTTTCCTTAAGGCCCAACTTAGAGATTTGTTCATCTGTTCGGTGGTGAACTTCATATCTTTAGCAGCTTCCACGGCCCGGTTTAAAGTCCAATTCAAGTCTTCCAAACTGGTGGCAGGGAGGAAGGTCCTGGAGCAGCAGTGATATTCCCGGAGACGATGCCGTGAGGTTTTCCACTCCGTGGCTTGCTGTCTGCTGGAGTCATAAGCTGGAAGAGCTACCGAAGAAGAGATCGAGGTAGGGACGGGAGGTGGAGAATAGCTGTCCGGAAGAAAAGAGGGGGAAAGAAATCGAGAAGTTCAAAGAATCATCACGGCAGATGCCCGCACCTGGCTAACCTTGGCTGATCTTCGAAAAGTTAAGCAGACGGTTCGATGCTTGCGAAGAAGGCACAGAAGAGGCTGTACTTCCTGAGAACGCTCAGGAAGATAAATCTATCTCAGCAGCTACTTCTGTCCTATTATCGCAGCACCATTGAGAGTGTCCTGACATCAGGGGTGGGTTCAACTTACCTTTACTACTGGTTCGCAATGGGATCGCATACGCAGAAGCTTCTGCGCGTGCGGAGATTGCTGATGACAACATCCGGGGTGTGGGAAGGACCTCCCGCTGGATTTACAACCGGTTCTTGCGAACCAGTCCAAACCGGGAGCAACCCACCACTGCCTGGCATATGACATTCTTGCATGGGATGGGAGCAGCTCTGCAGCCGACATAAAAGCTCTACAGAGAATCATTAAAACTGCCCAGAATATCATTGGACTCCAGCTACCAGCCCTGGACGACATCTTCGAATCTCGCTGTTTGAGAAAGTTGCATAACGTTCTCAGAGACTCTTCCCATCCTGCTTACAATCTTTTTGGACTGTTGCCTTCTGGCAGAAGATACAGAACCATTAAAACTCGGATTGCACGTTGTCTGAATAGTTTTTATCCCAGAGCTATAATTGCACTCAACAATGAACTAAAGGGCCGCCATCGGTGAGCTGTTGGACAGCATGACTTGGTCTGTTGTGTGGATGTTTGGGTGGTTCAGGGGTGGGGAATTTGTGGTAGGTGTGTGTGTGTGTGTGTGTGTTTGGGGATTGTTATGTGTGTTGGACCTGGTCTTTGGCTGTTCAGTGAATTTCGTTGTATGGGTATACCGTGTATATGCGTACAATGACAATAAAGTTATAATAAATGAGAGATGAGCGTGGCTTCCAGCTAAGTCGAACAAGCCAGCTAATGTTCTGTTGTTGCCAAGATCAACTTCATCAAGCAGACTTTAGCTTTAATTTAATTTTAATGTAATTTAATTTATCGCATTTATATGCCGCTCAACTCCCAAGGGACTCTTTAAAGGGGAATCTTTGTAGCTCGGGGTTGACATGAAGTTGGGGGGGGGGTCCTTGGTGCTCTCTGAGCTTGGTGGCTTTCTTCCAAATGTATCATCATCCTGATCTCTAGCATGGATGATGTTACAGTACTTAGTTTGGGTAATGAAATGTTTGCAAGGAAACAGCAAAGCTTAGAGAGCACCAAGTTTCCCGCAGTCGTTGTCTTCTTCTTCTTCTTCTTCTTCTTCTTCTTCTTCTTCTTCTTCTTCCTCCTCCTCCTCCTCCTCCTCCTCCTCCTCCTCCTCCTCCCCCCTCCTCCTCCTCCTCCTCCTCCCACCACCACCACAAACTCTATTCCTTCTAGCATTGATGATGTTACCGAATTTGGTAATGAAACATTTGCAAGAAAACCACTAAGCTCAGAGAGCACCAAGGATCCCACAGCCCTCTTCCTCCCTCCACCCCTCTGCAAACCCCACTCCCTTCTAGTATTGATGATGATACCTAGTTGGGTAATGAAATGTTTACAAGAAAACAACAAAGCTCAGAGAGCACCAAGGATCCCAGAGTCCTCTTCCTCCTCCTCTGCAAACCCTACTGCCTCCTTTTCTTCTTCCTTCTTCTTATCCTTTCTTCTTCCCCTCCTCCATCTCCTCCTCCTCTTCCATGTCTATCTCCTCTTCCTCCTCCTCCCCCCCCTGCAAACTCAACTCGCTTCTAGCACTGATGATGTTACCTAGTTGGGTAATAAAACATTGGCAAGAAACCAACAAAGCTCAGAGAGCACCAAGGATCCTTTTGCTCCTCTTCCTCCCGCACTGCAAACCCCACTCTCTTCTAGCACTGATGATGTTACCAAGTTGGGTAAGGAAACGTTCTGCAAGAAAACCGCCAAGCTCGGAGAGCGCCAAGGACGCCTCAAATAAACGGGTGCTACTCCATCATACTTACATGATGGATGAGACAGGGTATTGTGCCAAGGGAATAGCTGGGATGTAATTTACTGAGGTAGCTGCAGATGGCACCGCCAAGTACCAGAGGCCTGCCTGTTTCGGTTGCTGGTGTTGGTTCAACTTTGGTTGCATTCTGGAACTTTCTTCTGGAATGTTCTCCTTGTGATCTCCTGCTCCTGAGGTGGTCAAGAAAATAAAATATTTATCGGTCACCTTGGGCCCATTTTTTTTAAAAAATCTCCTTTAAATATACTTGGCAGGGGGGAAGTAATCTCGGGCACCACACAGTACAGGTGGTTCTCGAGTCACGACCACGACTGAGCCCGAAATTTATGTCGCTAAGTGAAACATTTGCTTAAAGTGAGTTAAGCGGCCCCATTTTACGACTTGCCTTGCCACAGATGTTAAGTGAATCCTTGCATTTGTTCAGTCAGTCACACTGGTTGTGTGGTGAATCTGGCTTCCCCCCACCCTTTTTTAATTTTTTAATTTGATTTATATACCGTCCTTGTCCGGAGACTCAGGGCAGCTTACAGTGCGTTAAGCAATAGCCTTCATCCTTTTGTATATTTATACAAAGTCAGCTTATTGCCCTCACAAACTGGGTCCTCATTTCACCTACCTTAGAAAGGATGGAAGGCTGAGTCAACCTTGAGCCTGGCGAGATTCGAACTTACAGTAATTGCAGACAGCTGGTGTTAATCACAATGCTATTAGTCTGCTGAGCCACCAGGCCCTTGACTTGGCTTATCAAAAGGTCGCAAAAGGGGACCGTCATAAATATGGGTCAGTTGCCAAGCGTCCGAATTTGGATCACCTGACCGTGGGGAACGCTGCAACGGTCGTTAAGTGTGCAAAACTTAAGTCGTAAGTCACTCTATAACTTTGAACAGTCACTAAATGAAATTGTTGTAAGTGGAAGACTACCTATATAAGAGACCCATCTTGAATTCGCCCCTCAAAGCTTCTTCTGAAGGCAACACTGCCAGCCAAAGTGTGTCAATCGCTTGGGGGACAAAATACTTGCGGCTGGGAGCATAAAGACAACTTCAGTCAGAACCGAAGAAGCTTCTTGGGCGAGTAGAGAAACGTCTTCAAGGAAAACAAAACAAAACAAAGAAAGCCCAGTTGCCTTTTTGAAAAAGCTCCTTCCGGACAAACATAAAGAGAATTTCCTTCTTTGGATGCGAAAATGAGATGTAGACCACGGAATAGGGATGAGAAAATAAGAAAAATACCCCACCCTGATAAAAAGAGAGGGAGCATTTTAAGGAAGAAGGTAACTATTAATGAACTGGACAGACAGGAACTTTTAAGAGCGGTGCAGTGGCCTTAGAGGTAGAGATCTCGCCTCACAATCAGGAGGCTGTGAGTTCGATCCTAGGTAGCGGCAGAGATTTCTCTCTCTCTCTCTGGGCACAATGAGAATATATCTGCAGAATATAACTCCGCATTGGCAACAGGAAAAGCATCCAGCCAGGAAACACTCAGCTCCATTCAGTTGCCCAGACTCTACCTCGATGTACGGAATTACGGGGTCATTATAAGACAAAACCAAAAACCAGAGAGGAATTTTTAAACTGGTTAGGGGCCCGTCTTGAACCCTCAGACATTTGTCTCACCAGCTATGTCTTTCTTCCTGGAGTTTGAAGAATCCTTACACGAGGGACATACCCATCCTTCGGTAGCTCTTTGCTTAGAAGGTCTGGATCCATCCCTAGGGGAACCTTAAAAAAAAAAAAAGAAAGACAATGGGAGGTGAAAATTCCGGTTACAGTGAAAATAGGCGACAATGTCAAACCGGCTGACGTGGAAATAGAAGCTTTTACAAGGCCTCGTTTCTGATGCTTTGGTTAGAAAATATAATAAGCACAAGGGGTTCCTGCATCTTCTGAAAGGCATTTTGTAAAATGCACCTCTCGTGATGTTTTGCAAACTTGGATTATTTGCAGGTCAGTGGTGGGATTCAATTTTTTTTTACTACCGGTTCTGTAGGCGTGGCTTGGAGGGCGTGGCAGGGGAAGAACACTGCAAAATCCCCATTCCCTCCCCACTCCAGGGGAAGGATACTGTAAAATCCCCATTCCCTCACTATTCCATGGGAAGATACTGTAAAATCCCCATTCCCTCACTATTCCATGGGAAGGATACTGTAAAATCCCCATTCGCTCCCCACTCCAGGGGAAGGATACTGTAAAATCTCTATTTTTATTTATTTATTTATTTTTTATTTAATTTGATTTATATGCCGCCCTTCTCCGGAGACTCAGGGCGGCTTACAATGCGTTAAGCAATAGCCTTCATACTTTTGTATATTTATACAAAGTCAGCTTATTGCCCCCACAAACTGGGTCCTCATTTCACCTACCTTAGAAAGGATGGAAGGCTGAGTCAACCTTGAGCCTTGGTGAGATTCGAACCCTGCAGTAATTGCAGGCAGCTGGTCTTAATAACCAGCTTAATAACAGGGTGCCTTAAACCCCTGTACTACCAAGGCTCTATTCCCTCCCCACTCCAGGGGAAGGATACTGTAAAATCCCCATTACCACCCCACTCCAGGGGACGGTTATTGCAAAATCCCCATTTCCTCCCAATCAGCTGGGACTCGGGAGGCAGAGACTAGATGGGGGCAGGGCCAGTCAGAGGGTGGTATTTACCGGTTCTCCGAACTACTCAAAATTTCCGCTACCGGTTCTCCAGAACTGGTCAGAACCTGCTGAATATCAGCTCTGTTGCAAGTGCTCCAGCAGGCAGGGCTGTCTTAACAACTGGACCTGATGGGCACTTGCCTGTGGGCCCCACAAGCATAGGGGCCCCACACTAATTTGTGTATGTTAACCCTTCAATGCACCTTGTATCATACCAATACAGCAACTGTATGGCTTCCTGAGTATTATATGGTTTTCAAGCCTCGTGTATTGTTCAAATGTTTATCATGTTGATTAGTTGTTGCTGCACAGCGTGTTTTTAATGTTTCAACCCCGATTTTGTTGGAAGTGCCAATAAAATAAATATATGTTTAATTTTATCGACCATGTACATTTTTATTCCTGTGAGTAATTGTCGTAGGGGCCCTAGTACACTGCTTTGCCTGGGGGGCCCATAATGCTCTTAAGACTGTCCTACCAGCAGCGAGTATGCTGAGACTTGTAGGTTGATGGAGGAAAAGAAAAGAAAAGAAAAGAAAAGAAAGAAAGAAAGAAAGAGGGAGGGAGGAAACAAACTAAGAAGGAAGGGTGAAGGAAGGATGGAAGGAACGAACAAAACAAACAAATAAACAAACGAAGAAACTAAGAAGGCAGGTAGGGAGGCAGGAAGAAAAAGAAAGAGAAAAGAAAAGAAAAGAAAAGAAAGAAAGAAAGAAAGAAAGAAAGAAAGAAAGAAAGCAGGCAGACAGAAAAGAAAGAAAGAAAGAGGGAGGGAGGGAGGAAACAAGGAAGGAAGAAGTGAAGGAAGATGGAAGGAATGAACAAAAGAAAGAAAGAAACAAACAAAACTAAGAAACTAAGAAGGCAGGCAGGCAGGAAGAAAAAGGAAGGAAGGAAGGAAGGAAGGAAGGAAGGAAGGAAGGAAGGAAGGAAGGAAGGAAGGAAGGAAAGAGGCAGGCAGGCAGGAAGAAAAGAAAGAGAGAGGGGAGGGAGAGGAAGTTAGGAAAAAAGAAAAAAATTCAAAAGTAAAAACTAAGGAGAGGTCCTGATTTTTAAACAGGAATTCAGCAATAAATCCAGTTAATGTTTAACCAATCATTTGTCTATCCTTGCCTGCGTTATCACCACAAAGGCGATGGAGGGGCAGAGCACGGAGCTGGTTGAAACTTGATTCCTCACCTGCAAACAGGTTTTCACATTTCTCTGGAATTGCCCGGTTGTGCAAAGTGTGAAAAAAAAAAAGGCTATAAGTCACTTTCTTTCAGTGCCGTTATACTTCGAACGGTCCCTACACAAATGATTAGTTAAGTCGAGGGCTGCCTGGATCACAGAGGGGCGATCCACACGAACGGTTGGTTACCTTTGGTTTCCTTGTCCTCCAAGAGACCAGCAGAGTCTTCTCCATGTTGCAACTGGACACTCTGGTGACCGAGTGGAGAGGTTTGGAGCCTCTTGGGATCTTGAGACTCCGGAATGGAAATAGGATACTGTGTCCCTAAGAAAACAAATACAAAGAATCCAACAGGTGCTGATAAAATTATAGAATACAGAACAACAGAGATGGAAGGGACCTTGGAGGTCTTCTAGTCCAAAACTTGAGCAGGAGAGAGAGGGAGAGAGAGGGAGAGAGAGGGAGAGAGAGGGAGAGAGAGAGAGAGAGAGAGAGAGAGAGAGAGAGAGAGAGAGAGAGATGTCAAAAGGATTTTGTGGTTCCCGGTGTTTTTTAACAACAGGTTCTCTGCCTTAATGACCGGCTGGGTAGGCGTGGCTAAGGGGGTCATGTGACTAGTAGAAGTGAATGACGCCCACCCAGGTTTTGTGGCTCCCGGTGTTTTCTTTTCTGTGGGAAACTGGTCCAAATGGCCCTTTGAGTGTTTAAGGTTGCAGACCCCTGCTCTAGAAAGAGTGCAGAGAAGAGCAACAAAGACGATTAAGGGACTGGAGGCTAAAACATACGATGAACAGTTGCAGGAACTGGGTATGGCTGGTCTAGTGAAGAGAAGGACCAAGGGAGACAGAATAGCAGTCTTCTAATATTTGAGGGGCCACAGAGAGGAGGAAGGGGGTCAAGCTATTTTCCAAAGCACCCAAATGCCAGACAAGGAATAATGGATGGAAACTGATCAACTTGGAAATAAGGATAATTTTTCTGGCAGTGAGAGCAATCTACCCATGGAACAGAAGTTGCCTTCGGAAGTTGTGGAAGCTTCATCACTGGAAGCTTTCAAGAAGAGACTGGACTGCCCTCTGTCAGAAATGGTGTAGGGTCTCCTGCTTGGGCGGGGGGTTGGACTAGATGACCTACAAGGTTCCCTTCCAACTCTGTTAATCTGTAATCTAATCTGTAATCATCCCATTTCTGCCTAGCCTGTATTACAGGAGAAGGCAACTTCCTGTAAGGAATGAAAGGATATCTGTAATTAGGTGAAGGCAATTCTTTTACTCCCTTTTTAAAATTTGTATCCTTCCAACTCCCAAATGCAAACTTCGAAAGGAATGGTAAAAAGGGAATTTTGCTTATCTTTCTTTACTGATCTAACTTTATTTTTATTTATTTTATTTTATTAATCATATTTCTATGTTGCCCACTCTCCGAGGACTCTGGGCGGCTTACAACTATCGACAGTATACTAAATAGCATATTGCCCCCCAACAATCTGGGTCCTCATTTTACCCACCTCGGAAGGATGGAAGGCTGAGTCAACCTGGAGCCGGTGAGATTTGATCCGCTGATCTGCTGAACTAGCAGTCAGCTGAAGTAGCTGCAGTACCGCACTCTAACCACTGCGCCACCTCGGCTCTTTTCAGTGGTCTATGTTAAGTTTTCACAAGGGTGGCTTCGAGATGATGTCCTCACCTGTGTAAGGTCCCTGGACGATGCGTTGTTTTAAAGGTCTGATCCTGGAAGTTGCGTGGGGTTTTCCGTTCTGCAACTTTGACAGTGCATCGTCCGACTCGGAAGGATCTAGGAACAAAGCAAGGAAAAAGACAATCCTCAGATTTTGATATGGGAGGTCCTACGTTATCTCCGGGGTTCAAAGAACATTGGGGAGCATTAACTGAGCTGTGGAAGGGCATACAATTGCCGGTTTTGACAATTGGCTCGATCGAACCAAAATATTTAATATCGCTAGCACTGATGATGTTCGGGTAATAAAATGTCACAACCAAGTTCAGAGAGCACCAAGGACCATAAAGCCCTCCTCCTCCTCCTCCTCCTCCTCCTCCTCCTCCTCTTCCTCCTCCTCCCCCCTCACTGCAAGCCCAACTCCCTTCTAGCACTGATGATGTCACCTAATTGGGTAATGAAATGTCTGCAAGAAAACCACCAAGCTCTGAGAATATCAAGGACTCCACAGTTCTCTTCCTCATCCTTCTCTTCCTCTTCCTCCTTCCCCTCCTCCTCCTCCTTCCTGTAAACCCAACTCCCTTCTAAGCACTGATGATGTCACCTAACTGGGTAATGAAACGTCTGCAAGAAAACAACCAAGCTCAAGAGAGCATCAAGGACCCCACAGTCCTCCTTCTCCTTCTCCTCCAACCCATTCCCTTCTAGCACTGATTATGTTACCTAATTGGGTAATGAAACGTCTGCAAGAAGACAACCAAGCTCAGAGAGCACTAAGGACCCCATAGTCCTCCTCCTCCTCCTTTTCTTCTTCCTTCTTCTTATCCTTCCTTCTTCCCGTCCTTCCTCCTCCATCTTCTCCTCCTCCTCCTCCATGTCTATCTTCTCCTTCTCTTCCTCCTCCACCTCCTCCTCCATGCAAGCCCTCTTCTTCTTCTTCTTATCCTTTCTTCTTCCCCTCCTCCCTCCTCCATCTTCTCCTCCTCCTTCATGTCTATCTTCTCCTTCTTTTTCTCTTCCTCCTTCTCCTCCTTCCTGTAAACCAAGCTCCCTTCTAAGCACTGATGATGACACCTAATTGGGTAATGAGACGTCTGCAAGAAAACAACCAGGCTCAGAGAGCACCAAGGACCTCTCAAAATATTTAAAACAGGCAACACAACCTGTTTAGACATTGTTCTCTTTGCTTAAAATATGGCTCTCTACATAATTTAAATTAATCTAAGGGCCCTCAGTTGCTCTGGGTAACATCCTACCATTGGCCCTATTGACAGTTCGTGGCCGACAATTGAAAATCCAGAGACTGTGCAGGACCCCAAGTTCCTAATTCTGGACTACGCCAACAACATTTAAACCCTTTGCCACATACTGAAGTCCAAGTCGGATCCATGTTGAGCCAAAGATGGTTTCTGGGTCTTCCCTTTTGTTTCAGCGGCCAGAAATGATTCATCAGATTCCACCACGCTTTTCCTTGAAGTTCTGTGGAACGAGACAGCATGTTACACCGAAGACAAGACTACAGTAGTGGCCAAAATTGTGAAACCTTTTGGGAAAAGTGTATTTTTGAGGTTTGATGGCTAATAACACCATTATTATTTTTTTTGGAGTTTCAAGATAATCCTATTCCACTGCTGGAATGGCCTGGGAATAGCCCAGACCTTCACCCAATGGAAAATCTATGGATTTTCCGACTAAAGAAACTTGTTAGTCAAAAGCGACCCAGCAATAAAACCCAGTTAATAGAAGCCATCATGCAATCTTGATTTCACATTAGAACAGCTGCAGAACTCAAAGACTTGGTTCACTCCATGGGAAGACGTTGTAAGGCCGTCATTCATGCTAAAGGTTACCCAACGAAGTATTAACTGACATGGGGATCATTTTTGTCTATCTCATTTTTTCTAGGATGATAATTTTTGTATAATCTCATTTTTTTTACAGGTTTCATTTTTCTTCTTTATACTGTAACTGCTATTCTAATAGCAAATCCTCCATGCAAGTTATTGCATTACATTCTTGATTCACTTATCTTTCCATTGATATATAATTTATATATCATTATCTTAGTTTCTTTAGTCAGCTCCATAGATTTTCAATTGGGTTAAGATCTGGGCTATTCCCAGGCCATTCCAGTAGTGGAATATGAACTCTCCCCCCCAAAAAGTGGTGTTATTAGTCATCAAACCTCAAAAATAGACTTTTCCCAAAAGGTTTCCACAATTCTGGCCACTTCTGTATTGTATCCCACTCCAGTCCACTCCACTGCATTCCATTCTATTCCATTCTATGGGCAGTGAAGGCATCAGAGAGGGAACATCAATAATAATTTCATCCTGGTTTTGCTTTGAATCTCTTGTCTTTCTGAACAGTTTGGAACTCAGCCAGGACAGTAGAATTGTGGTTAAGCTGTTTTGGAAGTTTCCCATAATGTCTTTCATAACGGGTGAGTCAGCTGCCTTGTGAGAAAATAGATCGCCTCTGCAGTCCTATTGCCCTCTAGATATCAAAAAGGTATAGATATCCCTTTTTTACAAGGCAACTGGATTTTGTTTTTCCTTGGAGGCGTTTCGCTTCTCATCCAAGAAACTTCTTCTAGAGAACAGTCACACACAACTAAAGAAGCTTCTTGGATGAGAAGCAAAACGTCTTCAAGAAAAAACAAAAAAAAAGTCCATTCAGAACTGAAGAAGCTTCTAGGATGAGAAGCGAAATGTCTTCAAGGAAAAACATAAAAAGTCCATTCAGAACTGAAGAAGCTTCTAGGATGAGAAGTGAAACGTCTTCAAGGGAAAAAAAACACAAAGAAAGTCCAGTTGCCTCTTGAAAAACCATCTTTGGGACAATCATGACCTGGATGATGGAGGATCTCTACAAACATGTAGTTATAGATAGGCTCACCAGGGACTGGGAAGAAACAATGAGAAGAGAACAACCAGAGAAGAGTTTGCACAGAAATTTTACACATGAATAGAATAGAATAGAATAGAATAGAATAGAATAGAATAGAATAGAATAGAATGGAATGGAATGAAATGGAATGGAATGGAATGGAATGGAATGGAATGGAGGGGAGGGGAGGGGAGGGGAGGGGAATGGAATAGGAATGGAGTGGAGTAGAGTAAAGTAGAATAGACTAGAAAATAGAGTAGAGTAGAGTAGAGTAGAGTAGAGTAGAGTAGAGTAGAGTAGAGTAGAGTAGAGTAGAGTAGAATAGAATAGAATAGAATAGAATAGAATAGAATAGAATAGAATAGAATAGAATAGAATAGAATAGAATAGAATTTTTTATTGGCCGAGTGTGATTGGACACACAAGGAATTTGTCTTTGGTGCATATGCTGTCAGTGTACATAAAAAAAAAAGATACATTTGTCAAGAATCATAAGGTACAACACTTAATGATAGTCATAGGGTACAAATAAGCAATCAGGAAACAATAGCTGTGTTTATCCCTTACCTCGCTGGAGTGACGCTTGGATAAAGGTGAGCCACGTCCTGGACTCTGGACGGGTGGGGAGAAGGAGACTGCCGATGGAGTGACTCTTCTAGACTTTGACGTAACCGAGAGACTTCATGTTGCAAAGCTTCAATGGCTTCGCTGGTGGAGAAATAAAACAAACACATAGGAGCATCAGATTGACTGCAACAACTACTATTAGGGCGGGTTTGAAGTCACCCCAATTCTACCCAAGACAAAAGGGGGAAATAAGTTTAATACAGGGGTGAAATTCAACATTTTTTCCGACCGGTTATGTGGGCGTGGCATGGTGGGCATGGTGTGGTGTGGCTTGGTGGGCGTGGCAAGGGAAGGATACTGCAAAATCTCCATTCCCACCCCACTCTGGGGCCAGCCAGAGATGGTATTTGCCGGTTCTCCGAACTACTCAAAATTTCCACTACCGGTTCTCCAGAACCTGTCAGAACCTGCTGGATTTCACCCCTGGTTTAATGCTCTTAACTCCCTCTTCCCATGATGGAGGGATGGGGTAGAATTACAGTTTTTTTTTAAAAAAACAACAACATTTGACTAAATTGGAGACAGTTGTTTAGAAACGAAGCAGGGGTGTCTTCCGTAGAGATGGAGAAAGCTTTGAGGGCAACATAAGTGTTTGGTAAGCCTCCATTAGCAACTCTTTCCCCAGCCAAAGGAGGGTTTGCCTTAAGGAATCGTCCACCAAGGTAATCCGAAAAATAATTATGAATTGATGGAATGCATCCTTAATGGTTTGTCCTGTCTGGTTTGGCTCTGCAACCCAACAAGACAGACACAGACTTCAGAGGATAATTAGAACTGCAGAAAAAACAATGGCCACCAACCTGCCTTCCATGGAGGACCTGTATACTGCACGAGTCAAAAAGAGGCCTGGGAAAATATCTACAGACCCTTCGCATCCTGGACATAAACTGTTTCAACTCCTACCCTCAAAACGATGCTATAGAGCACTGCACACCAGAACAACTAGACACAAGGACAGTTTTTTCCCCTAATGCCATCAGTCTGCTAAACCAATAATTCCCTCAACACTGTCAAATTAACTACTAAGACTGTATTGCTATTTTTTGTCTCATCCGTATTAATACCTATCTCTTCCCACTTATGGCTATATCCATGTTGCTTGTATCTTTACAACTTATAGTGTCTTTATTGTTCCCTAGTATGATTTGATTGCTTAGTAGTATCCTATGACTATCAGTAAGAGTTGCATCTTATGATTCTTGACGAATATATTTTATTTTTTATCTTTATGTACACTGAGACCATATGCACCACAGACCATATGCACCACAGACAAATTCCTTGTGTGTCCAATCACACTTGGGCAATAAAAGAATTCTATTCTATTCTATTCTATTCTATTCTATTCTATTCTATTCTATTCTATTCTATTCTATTCTATTCTATTCTATTCTATTCTATTATTCTTATCCCCTCCTGAATTTCGTTGGCCCTTATTTGGCACCAATTTAGTGTTGAACTTTAGTTGACTAGTTTTTTCAATATATCTTTGATTTATATGCCGCCCTTCTCCGCAGACTCAGGGCGGCTTACAGTGCGTTAAACAATAGCCTTCATACTTTCGTATATTTTATAAAAAGTCAGCTTATTGCCCCCACAAACTGGGTCCTCAATTTACCTACCTTAGAAAGGATGGAAGGCTGAGTCAACCTTGAGCCTGGCAAGATTCGAACTTACTTTAATTGCAGACAGCTGGTGTTAAATTACAGTGCTTAGTCTGCAGAGCTATCCAGGCTCTATCTTCTTTGGGTCATCCTGATTTTTTGGGCCTGATACGGTGTTTTGAAGTCCAACAATCCTACTTCAACAGCCTCACCAACCCCACCCAAATGGTCTATAATATTGCCTTCTCCTGAGCTTCTTTTCGGAGTGGCATGCTTACTCTCGTTCCAAGCGTGAATGAAGAAAGTTCTTGTGGCGAGCTTGGGCCATGTTTGAAGAAATTGGGGGCGAACTGGGGAAATCTCTCCCACGGGGTGGAGGGCTGCCATCCAGACTGGTACCACCATGTGTCTCAGTTTCTGTCTCAGAGTCAGGGTGAACTGGCAAGTAAGAGAGAGAGAGAGAGAGAGCAAGATATCATGAACTTTCCTTAAGGATGAAATTGTGGTCAGCCTTAAAATATATATACGTCAAGGTCTGCTTTTCTTAAATACAGTATGGTGGCCACTGACCAGAAGTCTCGTAGGATGGGTCAATGCTTAAATCTCCAATTTCCAATCCCAACCTACTAAAGGGGAAATCACAGAAAAATTAAACTTATGGGGCAGCTAACATGCTACTTTTAACAGAATAACAAAGTTGGAAGAGACCTTGGAGGTCTTCTAGTCCAACCCTGTTTAGGCAGGAAACTCTACACCACTTCAGACAAATGGTTATCCAACCTCTTCTTAAAAACTTCCAGTGTTGGAGCATTCACAACTTCTGGAGGCAAGTTGTCACACTGATTAATTGTTCTAACTGTCAGGAAATTTCTCCTTAGTTCTAGGTTGCTTCTCTCCTTGATTAGTTTCCACCCATTGCTTCTTTTCCTGCCCTCAGGTGCTTTGGAGAATAGCTTGACTCCCTCTTCTTTGTGGCAACATCTCAAATGTTGAAAGCCTGCAACTTGTCACCCCTTCTTTTCATTAAACATTTTTCCTTAATCACTTCCTTAACATGGTCTTTTGCTAGAAGCAAGCATCTTGGTGACCTGAGATATATATATTTTGAACAGTGTTGACTTTAAGATCTCAGCCCCAATATCTGGGCCTTGTGAGCTGTGTTGTATACCTATAGATGACATCTTGCTACTGTTCAGAAACATTCTGAGATATTGGCCTCCATCATTGAGTCAAAGCTTCTTAAGGAAGGAGGTGAACCTTGGGTACCTGGACCTGATGGAGGTGGTACCCCCATCCTCATCTGGTATTCAACTCACAGTTCTCGTTGTCTTCCGGCTCCATTTCATTTGTCCACCTGCAGGGAGAAGACTTCTGGAGGGAGTTTCTTTTCGCCAAGGTGCATCTGTTTCTCCCAGCTTCGGGCTTCACTTGTCCAGGTGATTTCTCTGGTCCCAGCTGTTTTGCCACACCTGGTGCTTTCTTTGAGGATGGTGAGCAGGGAGGCACATCAATTGTAGATGGAGGTCTCTGGATGCTGTAGGACCTGGAACCCAGAAACCAGAGGTGAAATGCTACTGGTACGGACCGGTTTGGGAGCACTGGTAGCAGAGATTGGGGCTGGTTTGCCGAACTGGTGGCAATCGCTGGCTGGCCATGCCCCCAAACCAGTCTATGGCCCGCAGCCCTTCCATGCCTTCCACATGGCCTTCCTGTGCATGGATGCAAGGCTGCCTTTTCTGCAGCATCCCCCTCCTCTCTTTGGATCACCCTACATGTGGGAAACTTTGCAGAAACAGGGCAGGCGGTTTGTATGGAGGATTGGCGGGGGAGGATATGCGGCTTTCCGGGATGGAGAGCGGGGCAAGAGAAGGCTTCGATGTTTGCTTGGATGTCGGAGGGAAACTCAAAGCTTCAGAAGGGCAGAATGTGCTTCAAAATGCGCAGCTCCTGGCTCTAACAGTGAGGGACGTCAAGTTGGCCATGCCTACCTGGTCACATGACCACCAAGCCATGCCCCCCCTCAAGCCACGCCCACAGAACCGGTAGCAAACATTTTTACATTTCCTGCCAGAAACCCAGGTATGTAGGATTGGTAAAGTATATTACACTTGTTTTCTATTCAGGTCCATGTGTTTTTTTTTTCTGGACTCACCTCCACAGAAGGTAGAATTAGCAGTTTGGAGGGAAAGACAAAAGGGGAATAGAAAAAAGTGAGTGAAAACTGGAAAATAGAGGGGAAGTTGGCTGAAGAAGAAAAAAGAAGGAACAGGAGGGAAGAGATGGTGTTACACAACTGAAAAAGAGATATATATAAAGGAAAAGGAGAATAATTAATGTGTTGTACCTCATCTTTGCCAACTGGTGCTTGGGCATCTGTGCCAGAGGAGATGCCCTGCTGGTTTCTGATCCCACAAAACCACTGTCTGTCTCTGGAGACACAATGCGCAGATCCTGCAACAAAGGGAAGATAACGTAAGTCATGACTTATGGAGCTACCAGCAAAATCTAGACCATCTCTCTAGACTATTCTTGAAGGCCACCGAATTTAATCACAGAGGTATCTCCTTCACTTGGATTTATCTTCATTCTGTGAATGTTGAAGGCCTAAGTGAAGGCACATCCTTTAAGGAAGCTGAAGAATCTTCTTGGATGAGAAGCGAAAAGTCTTCAAAGAAAAACCAAGGAAGTCCAGTTGCCTCTTGAAAAAACACCTTTGGGACAACTATGACCTGGATGGCTGAGAATCTCCATAGACATTTAGTGATCCTTAAGGAAAGAACCGTAGCTCCATCCAAAGTGGACTCAACCAGGTCCAGTGGACTTATCTGGTGAGGTTTCTAAGTAGCTCCAATACCCGAAAGACTCCAGAGATGGGGACACAAAGAACAGATGAACAGAGTTGGAAGGGACCTTGCAAGTCATCTAGTCCAACCCCCTGCCCAAGCAGGAGACCCTACATCTGCCTCTACCTAGGATTGAACTCACAACCTCCTGATTGTGAGGCAAGAGCTCTACCTCTAGGCCAATGGGTCTTTCCATCCTGGTCTCCCAATTTCTGTTCTGGAGATATTTGAGGTTATATTTCCTTCCTTAATCTTCCTTAAGTGAGCAAGCTGGACGACCTGGAATTCTCCCCACCCCGTCTACCATCACCAACTCAGACTTACCTCACACAACATTGTATCCATCTTCCGAGGTGAATGTGGAGCTGCGGATTCCGATGCTATGCTTCCCCTGATGCTCGCCATGCTGCTGTGAGGCGAAAGCTCTGCCTGCTGCCTTCTCGAGAACATCTTGTGGACAGCAACTGTGGGACGGTTGATCTCTGCAGGTTCAGTGAGAGCTGCTTCTGCTTGGATGGAAGACACGTGTCTCCTCGGGTGGGTTGGCTGCTGGACCTTTCTGAGCGAGCGCTCAGGACCCTCCTTCTCCTGAAGTCCCCTATCACAAAAAGCAAAGCTGTGTTAGTTTGTGAACAAACTAACTTAAATTTAAGGTATAATGTTTTTGGGAAACTGATGTGTTAAGGTAATGATGATTTTAAGCTGACCAGCCACTGTAAGGCTGTAAACTGAGATGATAAAATGAGAATGAGTCATCAGGGTTACTGCCACTTTAAGAAGCCGTCTATATAAGGGAGGCCATTAGAGGGCGTCTCTCTATCCTCATGTATCACCCTCCTTGTTGTGTTCTATCTGCATTGTAGTTCTCTGTGTAGAGTTGAAGAGGATTGATTGCTTGCCTGGTATGTGCCTACCACGTGTATGTCTGTATATAGAAGTCTTGGATATAAACCACTGTTTGCAATGACAAAACCTCTGTGTCTTGTATTTTGCTCCTGGGTTGTCTCAAAATAGTAGTCACGCTGTAAACACTCTAGACATGATGTTTCTAAGAAGCTAATCAAAGTTGCAATCAACAATCCGACATGCAAGCGGAAGAATAACAGAATAACAGAGTTGCAAGGGACTTTGGAGGTCTTCTAGTCCAACCCCCTGCTCAGGCCAGTACCTGAAGTACCCAGAAAACAACACAATGTCCAAATACGATCTTATAAAATGCAGACAATTTCTCCTAGAACCGGTGTGAAGCAAACACCTCCTTCCTACGTGTGCAACTTAGACCCAATTCACAAGAGCCTGGAGACTAAAACATATGAAGAACGGTTGCAGGAATTGGGTATGGCCAGTCTAGAGAAAAGAAGGACTAGGGAGGGACATGATAGCATCTTCCAATATTTGAGGGGCTGCCCGAAAGAAGAAGGGGTCAACTTATTTTCCAAAGCACCAAAAGGCAAGACAAGAAACAATGGATGGAAAGTAATCAAGGAGAGAAGCAACCTGGAATTGAGAAGAAACTTCCTAACAGTGAGGACAATTAACCAGTGGAACAGTTTGCCACCAGAAGTTGTGGGTGCTCCATCACTGGAGGTCTTTAAGAGGAGACTGCACAGCCACTTGTCTGAAATGGTATAGGATCTCCTGCTTGAGCAGGGGGTTGGACTAGAAGACCTCCAAAGTCCCTTCCAGTTCTATTCCGATTGAAATTTACCTCCCCTCTTTTCTTAGAAACCGATCCTTCCTCCTCCCTCAGAATCTCCATCCGTCCTTACCAGTGGTGGGTTTCAAAATTTTTAACTACCGGTTCTGTGGGCGTGGCTTGGTGGGCGTGGCATGGCTTGGTGGGCATGGCTTGGTGGGCACGGCAGGGGAAGGATACTGTAAAATCTCCATTCCCACCTCACTCCAGGGGAAGGATACTGTAAAATCTCCATTCCCTCCCCACTCCAGGGGAAGGCTACTGCAAAATCCCCATTTCCTCCCGATCAGCTGGGACTTGGGAGGCAGAGAATAGATGGGGGCGGGGCCCAGTCAGAATTTTTACTACCGGTTCTCTGAACTACTCCAAATTTTCGCTACCGGTTCTCCAGAATTGGTCAGAACCTGCTGAAAAACCCACCTCTGGTCCTTACCTCCTGTAGAAAACCAGGATGGGGCTGAAGCGTTAAAAAGCACAGTGAAATCTTTGTTAGCAGTGCCAGGTTTTACGCCGTGCCGAGCTGAAAATTTGAAAAGTGGGGCAGTACGATTGCCTCCAAGCACACTAGATCTCCCGGCCAAATCCAAAGCATTAAAAAGAAACAAAAAACCAGTTGCTTCTCAGCTGTTGTTCTCCACCTCTTTAAGATTCCCCTGCTGAGTTTTGACTTCCTTCCTGTCAAATTCCTTTCCCTTCTCCCTCCCCTTCTGCATTCTCGTCTTCTACATCCCTTCCTTGCCAAGATAAGCCGTTTAGCAGACAGGAGGAAGGGAGGAGGAGTGGGAAGGGAGAGAGAGAGAGAGATGGGGAGAGGGAGAGGCTAAAGCTGCTTTGAACAAGTCTGGGAAAGAAAACAAGAAAAAACGCAAAGGAATCTTTGTTCCACAGCTTCAGATGATGCAGCTAAAAAAGGCCAACCCGTTTCTAATTTTAGTCACATCTTGGAATGCCCCAAAACACCAGTTATTTTGCTTCTTTGGCACAAATAACCCAGCCAAACAGGCTTCGAATACATGGATATTTCCAGAGACATTATGTAAGAAATGGTTTGTTAACAGTGTGGGAGAGAGAGCAAAAGAAAAACATTACTCGGGAACACCAATGTGGCTTTCAACCATGGAAGCATTGACGCATCCAAATATTATTAACATGAGAAATATTGTTAGATACAAGGATATTTTATCAGAAAAGGGAGAATTAAAACAAAAACAAGAGTTGGAAAATCAAGGGATTGAGACAGTCTGGTTTACATGATTGCAAATACAATCAAGACACGAAAAAGATCTCAAACAATAGGGTTTCAATCTGGGAAAATCAGAATTGGATGAGATATTGATGGGAACAGATGGAGAAATGATTAAGAAATTATAGAACTATTTATTGCAAATTAGATTAGAAGATGAAGAGGTAAAAGAAACAATGATAGCCTGGGCAAAAAAATTTGGTTACACAATTGAATTAGAGAAATGGCAACAGCTATGGGAAAGGAATTATAAATTATGTATTAATTGAAAATAAATAGAACAATGGAGAGAGAATAGAGAGAGGAGTAGAGAGACAGATAGGAAGAGGGGAGAAAGGAGAGAGAGGGATAGAAGAAAGGGGAAAGGAGAGAAAGAAAAGAAGGGGAAATAAGAGTAGGAGAGAGGGTTAGAAAGGGAGGAAGAGGGGAGGAGTAGGGGAAAGGAAGAGGAAGGAGTGAAGGGGAAGGAGAGGAGGAAAGTAGCAAAGGATAGAAGAAGGGAGGGAAAGGAAAGAAGGGAGAAAGAGAGGAAGGGTTGTTGGGAAATAAGGGAGATGGAATGGTAGAAGAGCAACCTCGAGTATAATGATCTAATATGAAGGTTAAAAGATAATAGGTACGATAAGAGATTGTACATTTATGTATGTTTATGAGAAATAAAAATAAAAAAACTTTAATAAAAAGAAATCAGGCCAGGATTCGAATGTGAATTTTTTCAAATCAAAAGTGTGGCTGTCCAGGAGTCTAAGCTTCGGTTTTGATTACTCCCAGGGAAGATTAATTCCCTCTGTTGGAGGAGAGTTCATTAATCTATTATTATTATTATTATTATTATTTTGCTTTCCACTTTATGTCCCACACATGCTAAAATATGCATTTTTGCTCTTTCCTCCGTGGATGTCCGTTTCTTCCGTTTGTCCGGGGTTTTACACCCTTGGCTTAAACAGGGAACTGGGACATATCAAGAACGGCTGCAGGAACTGGGTATGTTTAGTTTAATGAAAAGAAGGTGTAGGGGAGACATGATGGCAGTCTTCCAGTATTTGAGGGGGCTGCCCCAAAGAAGAGGGGGTCAAATTATTCTCCAAAGCCCCAGAAGGCAGGACAAGAAACAATGGATGGAAATTAATCAAAGAGAGAAGCAAACTGGAATTAAAGAGAAGCTTCCTAACAGTGAGGACAATTAACCAGTGGAACAGCTTGCCACCAGAAGTTGTGGGTGCTCCATCACTGGAGGCTTCTAAGAAAAGACTGTCCAGACACCTGTCTGAAATGGTATAGGGATCCTGCTTGAGCAGAGGGTTGGACTAGAAGACCTCCAAAGTCCCTTCCAACTCTGTTATTCTGTTTCTTCTGAAATACAGAGCAATTTCTTGGCCCTGTTAAGATTGGAGATGGTGGTATTAGATCGTGAAATGAAGCAACTCCGGTTGTTTTCTCACGGACTTACTTGGAGGCAGAGGGGATTTTATTCGATGCAGATGCCTTCTGCAGGGAGCTACCCTTGGTCCCAGCGGCAGCGGTGACTTCACTGCCCAGTTCTTCTGCGTTGTGTTTGTGACTCAAGGCCTCTGGCAAAGATCTGAAGCTGCTGCACCTTGGAAATGAAAAAAGTAGAAAGCTGAGCCGGAATTAGAAAAACCTAACATATCTGGAGAATCAAATAAGATTTCCGTACTTTGCTTTCAGCTTCTCCCATCTGATCTACCCTCTACAATACCCAAAGGCAGTGGAAAGAATCTTCTCTTTCATCCTTCCTGTTTTAACCAAGGCTTCCTGAGACAGTAGCAATCACATGCTTAGTCCCCAAAACCCTCTTTTTATTTCAACGGCTGTGAATTCTGTTCATTCACAGCCCGTAATGAGTCCCAAGCAGTTTGTGAATATTCCGACAGAAGTCTGCCACAGTCTTTCGGGATAAGGCTGATAAACACCCACCTTTATCTCCCTTGACACGCTGCCAAAGACCTAACTGGGAATTAGCTTTGGAAGGCCAAACGGAGCACAGAGTCAAAAACGGAGCTTCAGAGTTTAAACCAACCAGAATGAACAAAGTTGCTTCCTGCAAAGGCTCATGTCCCTTTGCTTCTCCTTTATGCCTTATGAGAGGGGTGAATCATCTCCAAGCCTTACTCCTGAGTCGCCCCTTTTGTCTTAACTGTTCTTGCCTTCTGGCAGCTCTGCAAATGCGCGCACTGGGAACTGGCTCCCCCTGTTCCTCTGCCTTGCTGAGGCTCCAGAGTCAGCACATAACTCCCAGATGGCCCCGGCCCCATCTCTGCCTCCGACGCAGAGCCCTCGCCCGAGCCTTCCCCAGTCTCCAGGACTGGCCCATGTTCCTCCCCAGCCTCCCCACTGCCCGACTCTGCTGCCAGCTCTGCAGGCCGCTGACAGGCCACAACACTTCCATGAAGTTTTGATGACCTCAAGATCAGGTGGCAACACAGAGATACGATGGTGCCAAGTTTGAATGGGTGAAGTCCCGGGAGAGAAAGTGGGTGAAGCTTAGAAGAATCCCTCTGTCAGACTTCGATGCTATCTCAAAATAAATGAATTTCCAAACTGCCAATCTTTAAGGAAATCTTTTCTTTAATTGAGCACAGCCACCGGATCATGACTCGATGCGGACAAGACTGACCTTTTGCCCCCCCAATCCCTCCCTTTCCAATCCCCAAATCTCTGCTTCTCATTGGCTGTCTTCCAAGTCATTCTTCAGACTTCTTGTCTCGTCATTTCCCAGGAATGTCCCCCCTCCTCATTTCCACGACAACCCGACTTCAAAGGGATTTAGCAGGCAAAAGTTCAGAGCTTATCTCTCTCTCTCTCCTCTGCTCTCTATGCCAGCGTTGAAGCGCTGACACCCACGTGGATTCGTTCTCATTGCAGCTCACCCGCCCCAACCTTTCACCTTCCAGTTTGGACTTCCGTTTTGTTTTTTTTTCATGCGTGAACATGAACCTGAAAGACAGCCTTACTTGTCCAGAAGATAATCCATGTCCTCTTCCTCCTGAGGCTTGCAGGGTTGGGGCAGCTCCAGGAAATCATCTTCTTCTTCATCGGCCCCATCACTGATGGAACTCAAGTCTCCCTCCAGCTGGACTTGAGTGATGTTCTTCTTGGGGGTGGAGGCCTGAGGAGTGGATGGAAAAACCCAAGTGAGTTGAAATAGGACCACTTCACAATGTTGCCCCAACATGAATGCCCCACACTTTTTACAACGGCACTGAGGAAAGTGATTTATGACTGTTTTTCACACCATTGCAGCATCCATTATTCACATTTATGACGGTCGCAGTGTCCCGGGGTCATGTGATCCCCTTTTGCGACCTTCTGACAAGCAAAGTCAACGGGGAAGCCCAGATTCACTTAACAACCATGTTATTAATTTAGGGATTGCAAAGATTCACTTAACAACGGAAGCAAGAAAGGCCGTAAAAGGGGGCACAGCTCACTTAACGGCCGACTCGCTTAGAAATTTTGGACTCCATTGCAGTTGTAAGTGAAGGACTACCTGTGGATCCCATGTACATTATGGTTTAGTTTATTAACTCAGGGTTTGCGTTCAGCTCTAAAATGCTGCCACTGAAATCTTCCCTGGACAGATTATTTCCGTCATTCCCTCAGGAAAAAAAACCTTCTAAATAATCTTGATTTTACCTCAGGATACGGTATGCAGACAGATGGGACCGGAGCGTGAAGGGACGGTGTTGGGGTTCCCATTTGTTCCTCAGAAAGCTGGACTGGGAAGCTGGGATGTGACGGGACGCTTTGTGGAGAAATCTCCGCTCCAACTGGTTGGTTCCACGTAGGCCGCTCGATTCTCTCTTTCAAGCCCTCCAAACGCAGACCCAGATGGAAAACGTTGCCTTCCACGGCTCTGAGATACATTAAGCCACAATCCACAAATCTTTTATTTGTCAAGTTGGATATAAATTCCTGCTCTCTGGATACTTTTAATAGCACTGGGCATCAAAGTCATTTTTTAAAAAAAGATAAAGGGTTCCTCTATCCCAGAGGTCTGCAACCTTAAACACTCAAAGAGCCATTTGGACCCGTTTCCCACAGAAAAGAAAACACCGGGAGCCACAAAACCCTTCCCGTGCCTGACTACTTCTTGAGCAGCCACAAAACTAGCCTAGGTAGTTGAATTAAATGCTCTGATTTCTTCTGAAATTTTTCTTGTCTTGGATTTATCCATGGTTGGCCTACCAGGGGTTGAAAAGCTCAATAAATTGTGTACCGGCAGGTGTCGCACATTGGCGGTTATTTTGAGTGACAGGGAGCCAGTCATGTCTGACTCTAGGGCAAGGTGCTCATTTCTATTTTCTTGCCAAGGAAGTAAGCATTGTCCGAAGACGCTTCCATGGTCCTGTGGATGGGATTATTATCCACTAAGGTGCAAAGAATGCTGTTACTTTCTACCAAAGTGGTACCTATTTATCTACTCACATTTGCATGCTTTTGAACTGTTAGGTGGGCAGGAGTTGAGGTAAGTAGCGGGAGCTCACCCCGTTGCGTAGCACTCGGGACTTAAACTAGCCTGTATGTCAACTTGCAAAGCATCCCTGGCCTGCTCTCAAGTTGCTATAGGCAAGGGGGCGATGGGAAAACAGTGAAGCAGCACAGCAGCCAAAAAACAAAAGCACATTCCAGACATATCTCTCTCAAGGCTGTCTCCCAGGGTTATTCACAGCGGCCAGAGGGGAGTGATTATCTACAACCTGTGAAATTGCTCCGTTGGCAAATGTGACTGATGACACACCCTGAGGGGAGGAGGGAAACAGGGTCAAGAATGGGTCGTAAATTGGTGGATTTCTACATACCGGTTGGGATCAAATTCTCCCAGGGTCTCCATAGCTCCGTTCTGATTCAACTGCTGGTACTTGTTTCGAGCCTGCAGATAAGCTTGTTCCAATGCCTCCTGAGCTTCCTTCAGCCTTGCAAAGCCCTACCGAGATTGTTGAAGATTGAAAGAGGAATAAGCACAGGAAAACCTCAATTTACAACGGTTCTTTTAGTGACTGTTTCAAAGTTACAAACGGCACTGAACAAAAATGACTTGGGACCGTTTTTCACACTTAACGACCGTTGCAGCATCAAGAAAGTTGTAAACTGGGGCAAAACTCACCTAACCATTGTCTCACTGAGCAACAGAAATTTTGGGCTCCATTGTGGTCGTAAATCAAGAATTACCTGTAATCTGAAAACTGTTCTTTTGAGAATGCTTTTGTCATTTAGAATAGAATAGAATAACAGAGTTGGAAGGGACCTTGGAGGTCTTCTAGTCCAACCCCCTGCTTAGGCAGGAAACCCTACACCATCTGTTTATGGCCATAGGAGCGTCATCTCTGATTCTACTACTTGAAAAGTTACTCTGTGTTTGTGCAAACGGAAACACAATTCCCTTTGGCCTCCCAAAGACCAATTTCTTTTTTCTTGGCCCATGGTTTAAATAATTCAAAGGCAGAAGATCAAAATTTCACCAAGAAATAGAAAATTTGGGGAAGGGGAAGGAAAAATATGACTGGAATTAATTTGGGAGAACTCCAAGATCTCAGTAGTGGACTGGAAAAATCAGGACTTAACAACAACAGTGTTGGAAGGGATCTTGGAGGTCCAACCCTTGCTAAAATATTTTGTGCAGAAAAAAAAGACAAGAGTGTATGTAAATTTATACAGGTGGTTCTCGACTTACGACCAAAACTGAACCCAACATTTCTGTTGCTGAGTGAGACATTGGTTAAGTTTTTTTGTCCGCATTTTACGATCTTTCTTGCTGCCGTTGTTAAGTGAGTCACCTGATTGTTATAATCACGAGTCGGTGGCCAAGCGTCTGAATTTCGTTCAGGGGGATGCTGCAACCGTTGTTAAGTGTTGAAAACCGTCGTAAGTCCCTTTTTTTACAGTGCCATTGTAACTTCAAACAGTCGCTAACTGAACTGTTGTATGCGGAGGACTACTTGGGGGGGGGTGTCATTTAACAGGAGGAGGAAAAACTGTGTTACCTTCAACTGGTCCATGGCCTCCAGCTTATCGGTTTGAATTAAATCCTCCAAAAATTCCATCTAAAAAAAAAAAAAATGAATGAATTTATCATGTTGCAATAATCAGATGCAGGGCCTCAGTTCCAAGAAGCAGGAAAAGATTAAACAAAGGACAAGAATGAGTGCGCACAAATCTAACAACAATTGCAACCCAGAATCCAGGTTGTTTAATCTACTTAATGCCGAAACACACACAACACGTATGTAGCATATCCTCACAACATGTAGAATGTCTTCAGATCGGAAAACGTACTCGCGAATCCCTCCTTTTCCGGTTGCCAGTCAGAAATAAGAAACTGTGAGATCCTTGCTCCTCTCTGAGCTTGGTTATTTTCTTGCAGACGTTTTCATTACCCAGCTCGGTAACATCATCAGTGCTAGAAGAATTGAAAAGCAACCCCTAACTCCCTACTAACACTGATCATGTTACCTAGTTGCGTAATGAAAAGAACCAAGCTCGGAGAGCATCAAGGACCCCACAGTTCAACTCTGGGCTACAAATATTCTCCTTTATTAGAAATTAAATTAAAAAAAAAACTCGCCTGGGTCTGAAATTTACTTGCTTGGGCAGCTAACAATCTTGTGAGATGATCACCCAGGAAGGGCATTTTGGAGATAGGACGATCTGTTTCGGAAGAAGTGATGCCTGTGGAATTACTCAAGGATGAGTGTTGCACCTGCTGCCTGGGAAATCCTGCAACACAACAAAATTATAAATCCTGCTTGAAGTTCAGCTCAATTCATGGAGTGTAATACCTTCAGGATGTGCTCATTTATTTATTGGCAACAATAGAGGAAGGTGGGGTCCTCGGTGCTCTCTGAACTTGGTGAGTTTCTTGCAAACGTTTCATGACCAAACTAGGTAACATTATCAGTGTTAGAAGGTGGGCTTTGTGGAGGAGAGAGAAGGGGGAAAGAAGAAGAGGAGGAGGAAGAGGAGGAGGAGTGCAGGGTCCTTGGTGCTCTCTGAGCTTGGTGATTTTCTTGCAGACGTTTCATCACCCAACTAGGTAATATTATCAGTACTAGAAGGGAGTGGATTTTGTGGAGGAGAGGAGAAGGGAGAAAGAAGAGGAGGAGGAGGAAAAGGAAGGGAAGGAGGAAGAAGAAAAGGAGGAGTATAGGATCCTTGGTGCTCTCTCTGCTTAGTGGTTTTCTTGCAGATGGTTCATGACCCAACAAGGTGACATCACCAGAGCTAGAAGGGAGTGGACTTCGTGGAGGAGAGGAGAAGGGAGAAAGAAGTGGAGGAGGAAGAGAAGAAGGAAGAGGAAGAGCGTAGGATCCTTGGTGCTCCCTGAGCTTGGTGATTTTCTTGCAGACATTTCATGACCCAACTAGGTAACATCATCAGAGCTAAAAGGAAATGGGCTTTGTGGAATGAAGGAGAAGCAGGGGAGAAAGAGACAAAGGAGGAGGAGGAGAAGGAAGATGAGGAGGAGTGTAGGATCCTTGTTCTCTGAGCTTAGTGGTTTTCTTGCGGACATTTCATGACCCAACTAGGTAACATCATCAGGGCTAGAAAGGAGTGGATTTTCCTCCCTATTTATATACTACTGGCTCAGTGCGGCTGGAGAGAGAGAGAAACGCCTTGCTCCAGCTTCTTTTGAGGGAGTTTGTTCTGCTTGTCAGTCTAGTCTACAGCCTTGGGAATTCCCACTCATACCCTACCCAGGTACAACTGGAATTGAGCATTGGAGAACCAGCCAATGAATTACTTGCCCGGTTTACAGCTTTCGCCCTTACGGGCAACGACGCAGTTTCTCCCAAGATCGAGGAAGACCAGATGCAAATGTCTCACGCTTACCTTCACCTTGACAGCTAATGGATGCTTGGCTGGACCGCTTTGTGATCTCGGCGGACCTGATTTGAGGGATGCTGAATGTGACCACTTTGGACGCCTCTGATATTTTCCCCATTTCAGCGGCCTGGCTGGGCTTCGGAGGGTCGCTGTACAAGCGTACCTGAAAGGGAGCAGGGAAAAAATTAGAAGAAATCTATCTCATCGTGATCTCCAAAAAAGAAAAAAAGAAGAAGAAAGGAAAATAGGCAACGCAGGGGCATTATTTTATTATTATTAGTCATATTCCATGGCTTAGGACCTGGGTACCTACAAGACCGTCTTTTGCCACCAATAGCCTCCCACCGACCAGTTCGTTCCCACAGGGAGGGACTACTCAGGGTACCGTCAGTCAAATGATGCCGACTGGCGACTCCCAGGGGGAGGGCCTTCTCTGTGGGGGCTCCAACCCAACTGCCCCCGGAGATACGGAATATCCCTGATCTCCGTGCTTTCCGCCGTGCCCTCAAGACCCTGATGTTCCAACAGGCGGGGCTAAACATATGAACATGTGAATGTTTTTAAAATGTTATCTAATTTTAGGTTCTATTTAATTGGGCCAAACTATGTTATAATAATAATTTAAATTAGCAATTTTATGATGTTTGTGTATCTATATTTTTCTTGACTGTACACCGCCTTGAGTCCTACGGGAGAAAGGCGGTATAGAAATATAATAAATGAATGAATGAATGAATGAATGAATGAATGAATGAATGAATGAATAAATAAATAAATAAATAAATAAATAAATAAATAAATATTTTCTATGCTGCCCACTCTCCGAGGACTCCGGGCGGCTTACACCAAAGACAGTATACTAAATAGCATATTGCCCCCAACAATCTGGGTCCTCATTTTACCCACCTCGGAAGGATGGAAGGCTGAGTCAACCTTGAGCCGGTGAGGTTTGATCGGCTGATCTGCTGAACTAGCAGTCAGCTGAAGTAGCTGCAGTACTGCACTCTAACCACTGCGCCACCTCGACATCTCTTTGGTTTCATCAAAGGAAGGCAAGATGGAACGGTTTAAAACCAATCAATCTCAAACATTCCTTGAAGACTTTGGAAAGAAATAATCCAGTTTCTCGACTGGGCACTTAAAGCCAAGGTTAGTAATTTAGCGGTAAATTCAAGGAAAGAGCTCATGTTCAAACTTGCCCTTTTTCTACTTTTTTTTTAAAATTTGATTTATATGCCGCCTTTCTCCGGAGACTCAGGGCGGCTTACAATGCGTTAAGCAATAGCCTTCATCCTTTTGTATATTTATACAAAGTCAGCTTATTGCCCCCACAAACTGGGTCCTCATTTCACCTACCTTAGAAAGGATGGAAGGCTGAGTCAACCTTGAGCCTTGGAGAGATTCGAACCAGCAGTAAATTGCAGGCAGCTGTGTTAATAACAGGGTGCGTAGACCACTGTACTATCAAGGCTCTTAAAATGGGAGGGATAATGACACATAACCTTTAGGTTTGTCAAACTCTGGAGAGTCACAGAGTAGATCTATGTGGATAGATTAGGTTAAATCTGGTTAAGAATACTCAAGATGCTCTCCAGTCAACCTGTTCTCCAAAGCACCTGAAGGCAGGGCAAGAAGCAACGGATGGAAACTAACCAAGGAGAGAACCAACCTAAAACTAAGAAAAGAAAATGACTGTGAGAACAATTAATCAGTGAAATGACTTGCCTCCAGAATTTCCAACACTGGAGGTTCTTAGGAAGAGATGGGACAACCCATTTGTCTGAAATGGTCTAGGAGGGTTGGACTAGAAGATCTCCAAAGTCCCTTCCAACTTTGTTATTCAGAAGCTCACAGTGATTCTGCTGGGTTTTACCTCCAAGCCCATTCACTTTAGGGCTGAAAATATGGACTTTGCCCCTTTAATTCGGGTTTCGATTACACTTCAAACTGGAAGTCTGGATTTTATAACTGGCTACGGCCTTTTTGGCTGTAGGGATGCGGTGGCTCAGTGGTTAAAATACTGAGTGTGTTGATTGAAAGGTCGGCAGTTCAGCGGTTCGAATCCCTAGTGCCACATAATGGGGTGAGCTCCCTTTTTCCAGCTTTTTACGAAAGTACGTAAAAAATGCAAGTAGAAAAATAGGGACCACCTTTGGTGGGAAGGGAACAGCGTTCCGTGCGCCTTTGGCGTTGAGTCATGCCGGCCATATGACCACGTAGGCGTCTTTGGACAGCGCTGGCTTTTCAGCTTTGAAACGGAGATGAGCACTGCCCCCTAGAGTCGGGAACTCCTAGCACATATGTGCGAGGGGAACCTTTACCTGTACAACCTCTACCTGCTTTCTCTGGTCCCCAACTGCCATCATCCTCCGAATCGCACAAGTGGAGGTGGAATTCTACGTCTCCTCTCCTGCTTATGTTCTAGCAGCTAGAACTGGATTTCTGAAACTGATCCACATCTTCAGTTGCCCCAGCCAGCTCTCCTTCAAATCTCCTGAGATGTCTCCACAAACTAAGCATTGTGACGGCATGAGAGCATCATGGTGGACAGGGCTTTCCCCCCCCCCCCCCCCAACAAATCCAGTGGAGATTTTTTCAGCAAAGGATGGAGGGAAACAGGACAAGAATTTGTAAAACGATGACTGGTCCTGAGAAGCAGCTCTAAAGGTAATGCTTCTCATTTTTTTTAAGGGGAAAAAGAAATCAATTATAAAAAAAGTAACTAAAAGACCAGCATTTATTTATTTATTTATTATTTTATTTATTTGATTTATATGCCGCCCTTCTCCGGAGACTCAGGGTGGCTTACAACGCACTAAGCAACAGCCTTCATTCTTTTGTATATTTATACAAAGTCAGCTTATTGCCCCCACAACTGGGTCCTCAATTTACCTACCTTAGAAAGGATGGAAGGCTGAGTCAACCTTGAGCCTTGGCGAGATTAGAACCTGCAGTAATTGCAGGCAGCTGTTCTTAATAACAGGGTGCTTTAGACCACTGTACTACCAAGGCTTTTGCAAAGCTTCTTCTCTGGTAACATCAAACTGCAAACTAGGGCATACAAAACCTTTGCCAGACCAATTCTCAAATACAGCTCGTCTGCCTGGAATCCACACTGTATATACATTAATGTAATTGAGCGGGTCCAGAGGTATTTCACGAGAAGAGTCCTCCACTCCTCTGCTCACAACAGAATACCTTAGGCCATCAGGCTTGAGATTTTGGGCTTAGACAACCTGGAACTATGCCGCCTTCGGTCTGACCTAAGCGTAGTACACAAAATTGTCTGCTACAATGTCCTACCTGTCAATGACTACTTCAGCTTCAACCGCAATAATACACGGGCAAACACTAGATACAAACTCAAGGTAAGCCGCTCTAAACTCCATTGTAGAAAATACGACTTCAGCAACAGAGAGTGGTCAATGCCTGGAATTCACTATCTGACTCAGTTGTTCCATCCAGCCCCATAGCTTCAACCTTAAACTGTCTACCGTGGACCTCACCCAGTGGTGGGATTCAAGTAATTTAACAACCGGTTCTCCAACCTAATGATTTCTTCAAACAATCAGTTTGCCAAACTGGTCAGAAGTTAACAACCGGTTCTCCCGAAGTGATGCAAACTGGCTGAATCCCACCACTGACCTCACCCCATTCCTAAGAGGTCTGTAAAGAGGGTGTGCATAAGCGCAACCAGCGTGCCTACCGTCCCTGTCCTACTCTCCCCATTTATTTGCATTCATTTCTTTTGTTCATATCCATGTTTATATTTATACCTGCTATCTTGTACATGTTTGACAAACAAATAAATACAAATACAAATGAGAATTTTTCCCCCCAAAAGTCTCATCATCTTTTTTTGTAAACGTGGTGACCAAAATTGGTTGCAGTGTTCCAGGTGTGGTTTTTACTAGGGTTTTATAAAGCGGTACTAATACTTGATTCTACGCCTCTGTGGGACACACAGGAAGGGGGAAGAATCTGTCACAATCTTGAGACGCAGGAAGTCGAAGAGCAAAGAACAGCCAGTTGCAAATCCGGCATGTTCTCAATCCCCCCCCCCTTTTTTTTTGCATTTCATTTCCTGTTCAAGGCGAAACTGGCTGAGTCATCTTAATAAAGAAAGACCAGCGTTGCCTTCTCCCCTCGAAAAGTACAATTCTCTCTTCTTCTTTTCAGCAGCCCTAAAGACTTCCTTCAAGACCTCCTTCGCCGAATTGTAGAGCTGAAGAAAAGTCTTTAAAAGCCAGCCAGATCTCATTTTATTGGCAGGCCCTCGGAAGGGTTTCGAATCGCGAGGAGTTCTGACTCACAATGATTTTCTAAAACGATGGGATCCAGACTAATCTCAATTCTACTGCTTTTGAAACAAAGCTTGGATTTTTTTTAAAAAAAGAAATGAATCAGAAATATTTTGATTTTAGCAATTAGCTAAAATAATTGCTAGATATTGGAAATTAAATGTTGACTTAAAATTAGAAGAATGGTATAATGAAACATGGAAATTTGCATTAAATGATAAATTGACTTGTGATATTAAAATTAGAAGTGGTATATACAAAGAGAATGTTTTTTTTTTGGAAAACTTGGCAACCATTTGTGGACTTTGCACTTGGGAGATTGGATGAATCGGTGCCAGTACCTTATCAAAGAGATTTTTGGAAGAATTGAAGACTTTTAATTTCCTAAAACTTCCTTTCCATTTGTATAGCACGTTGGGGGGGGGGAATTCTTTCTTTACTATTGATTTTTGTATTGTTTTTTCTTTTCTGTTATTCTTTAACAATAAAAATACCATAAAAAAAAAGAAAGAAATATTTTGATTTTTCCGCAAACGAGGAATAATGGATGGAAACTGATCAAGGAGAGATTCAACCTAGAAATAAGGAGAATTTTTCTGACAGGGAGAACAATCAATCAAGTTGCCTTCAGAAGTTGTGGGAGCTTCATCACTGGAGGCTTTCAACAAGAGACTGGACTCCCATTTGTTGGAAATGGTGAAGTGGGGGGTTGGACTAGATGACTTACAAGGTCCCTTCCAACTCTTTAACTGATTAATAATCTGTAATAAGCATGGTCTTCTCTGACCAGTGAAGCCTATGAAGTCCTACACACACAACCTCCGCTCTGCAATCAGCTACTACCTGTTCCCCAACCAGGTACGTTCATAAGGTGTTCCATTAGGAGAACCTGGTACCCACAAAGCAAAGGTTACAGAAAAGACTTGGATAATACGATAGTTATTGTATATTATCTGGTACCTTGGCACTCAGCCGCAACCGGTCGATGGTGTTCTCAGCTTCAGCGTACTTGGTTAGAAGTTTGTGGTAGTCTTCCTAAAAAAAGTGATGAAGAGAACACAGTGTTTCATTTGCACGTCCCTTATGGAATAGGAAGTGCTTTGAGGGTGTATGATCTGTATATGGCACAGAGCAATGGTCATAAATATGAGTCAGTGGCCAAGCGTCCAAATTTTGATCACATGGTGCTGCAAAGGTCGTAAGTGTGAAAAATGGTCCTAAGCCACTGACAGCATATGCACCGAAGACAAATTCCTTGTGTGTCTAATCACACTTGGCCAATAAAGAATTCTATTCTATTCCATTCTGTTCTGTTCTGTTCTATTCTATTCTATTCTCTCTTCTCTCCTTCCATTCTACTTTCTATTTTCTACTCTATTCTATCATTCCACTTTCTATTTCCTTTTCTATTTCCTGTTCTATTTCCTATTCTATTCTATTCTATTCTATTCTATTCTATTCTATCTATTCTTCCATTCCACTTTCTATTTTCTACTCTACTCTACTCTATTCTTCCATTCCACTTTCTATTTTCTTATCTATTTTTTCTTTTTTCTTTTCTTTTTTCTTTTCTTTTCTTTTTCCTTTTCTATTTCCTATTCTATTCTATTCTATTCTATTCTATTCTATTCTATTCTATTCTAATTCTTCCATTCCACTTTCTATTCTATTTCCTTTTCTATTTCCTTTTCTATTTCCTTTTCTATTTCCTTTTCTATTCTATTCTATTCTATTCTATTTCTATTCTATTCTATTCTATTCTATTCTATTCTATTCTATTCTATTCACTGTTGTGTTAAGATCTACCTGTATATGAATGAACCGGTTACTAGAAGCCAAGGACTGAATGCCTACGAATGGTGCTTTAACCTTGAAGGATGCACACACAAAGGGACATACACACACACAAAGAGGGGAAATATGCATAATGTGTGTAGGTTGTGACCTCTCTCCGCTTAGATTGATGCAGACCTGCAGAGGGTGCATTAGACAGCTTGCTTTTGGCTAGTGGCCTAGATTTTTCTATTGATGGCTTCAGAGACGGAGTTTGCTCATTCACATGAATGAGCAAACCTCCAGACCAGCGAGAAGAAGAATAGTAATCAAAAAATACATTTCTGCAAATTGAGAAGCTTCTACGCCAGACCGAAGGGGTTTTCTCTCCCTAATGCTCCTGTGCAAAGTGGGAGAAAAATTTTGCCTGGAGGAATAGAGGCAGTCCCTGACTTACAATGGTTGTGTTTTAGTGGCCATTCAAAGTTGTAACGGCACCAAAGAAAGGGACTCGGGGACCATGTTTCGCCCTTACAACCCCTGAGGCATCTGCCACGGGATCAAAATTCAGACGTCTGGCCACTGACTCGTATTTACGACAGTTGCAGCGTGTCACACATCCTCTTTTGCAGCCTTCCAATGAGCCAAGTCAACGGAGAAGCCAGATTCGCTGAACAAGGGTCTTGCTGACTTAACGATGGCAGCGATTTGCTTAACAACGGTGGCAAGAAAGGTCGTAAAATGGGGCAAAAGTCACTTCGCAAAGTCACTTTACTTAGCCGCAGAAATTTGGGGCTGAATTACGGTCGTAAGTCGAGGACAATCCATATTGTGGAATATCTAGAGGCCACCTATCTAGAGGCTTGCAGTTTAAAAGGAGGGAAGAGTGCAAAACATCTGGTTATATAGGTAGACCTCCACTTACGACCACAATGGAGCCCAAAATTTATGTCGCTAAGCGAGACAGTTCTGAAGTGAGCTTTGCCCCCATTTTACAACCTAGCTTGCTGCCGTTGTTAAGCGAAGCACTGCAAGTTGTTTAGTCAGTCCCACGGTTGCGAAGTGAATCTTGGCTTCCCCGTGGACTTCAATTTTCAGTCGGTCACAAGACGGGATCTTAAAACACTGTGACCGTCATAAATTGAGCCGGTTTCCAAATGTCTGAATTTTGATTATGGGGACGGTCGTAAGTGTGAAAAATGGTCATAGGTCACCTTTCTCAGTGTAATTTCCCCGCTGTAATTTCGAAGCTTCACTCAATGCGCTGTTGTAAGCCGAGGACTACCTATATAGGCCGTCCTCGACTTACGATAGTTCATTTCGTGACTGTTCCGCACGGTCGTGTGATTTATATTTGGATGCTTGAACACGGACTCATATTTATGACGGTCGCCAGATAGGGGAAGCCAGATTCACTTAACAACTGTGGGACTAGATTGGCTTCACAAATGGCCCAAGAC